TAATTTGCGCAGGTGCTGATCTAGACAACAGTAAACTGGAAATACACGCTTAAAGACTTGATAGATGTAATATCACCCATGTTGACTTGCCCATGGCCTTAGATACCAGATAAGTTCGTGATACAGAGGCATAAGGAAGCACATTCTCGCGTTTTTAAAGTAGATAGCCTCGTGTAGTTCTGTGATATCATCGTGCCAGGATACTGTCAGAAGACAAAGTAACGGGAATCCGTCTAACTTATCAGAGATCGGTTGTATGTTGGAAGCGAGGATTCAGAATCAACCCAATACAACAGCAGCCGAAACTGGCTGTCTTTCACACCAAAAAAGTACCAACTACTTTTTTCTTCATCTATATGAATGAGCAGTTTATTGTGACGAACAAACAGTCTGTTTATATGATAGCTTTTACAGTTATAAGCCTGGTGTCACCGACAGAGCTACAGGTGGAAAGAAGTATAGGTTGAATAGTCATGGCTACTCGGCTATCGTATTTTGTCTAGCTAGAAACTGAGCAGCATAACCCGATGCATCATTAATCACCAGCACTTTTTTAAACGGTAGCTGCTGCTGCTTGTCCCATTCCCGTAGGATTAGGTCCTGGTAAGCTGGAAGGTTCATCAAGGCACCGGACAGGACGAGTGCACATTTACGGGGATCACAAATCTCAGCCAGCGGTTTGACCTGCTGGACCAAAGTACAGGCTGCAAATTTTAGAACCCCTAGTGCTTGAGGATTGGGATCCCGTTCTCTGAAGCCTAACTTTGTGACAACCTTTGCCAAGTCACCTATCTTCTCTTTAGGCCTAGAATCTGAGTGGTATATGTCTCTAAGGACGCCTGCTTCGTTAGAGTTGAGCTCTGCCAAGATTGCCCTCTCGAACTCTGTGAGCTCGTGAGTAGTTTGAAACTGCTTTTGCTCCACACTAGACAAAACAAGCTGAAGGGCTCTCTTTCCAATATCAAAAGCACTCCCTTGGTCTCCAATCAGGTAGCCCCAGCCTCCTGTCCGACCAACTTGGACAATCTCGTTCGACGGCCCCTTTTTGAAGGCAGTTGCTACAGATCCTGTTCCGGCGATCACGGAAATCGCACATTCGACCGAGTCATCCATTGCAATACAAGAGCCGAGAAGTATACCATCACTGGTCAGGCGCAGTGTTCCTTGTTTTTTAGAAACACCAAAAAGGTCTTCCAGTCGACGGGTCAATGTCGCAATCTGGTCAGCGTGGTACAGCCCCGCCAATCCTACCCAGACCTTCGAGAATCTGAGTACATCGGGATGGCCAAATTCCTGTCTCGCAAGGGCTACCGACGATGCCCGGTCTGTGGCCAACTTTATTTGATCCATAAGTTCCTCTAGAGGAACTGAATTGAAATTACACGGACCAGCCACCCCTTGACCAACAATCGTTGACTGTGTTGCAATCGAAACAGTGCAGTTCGTTCCACCGCCGTCAACACAAAGACAGTAATCAGATTCACTCTGAAGGAGCATGGGCTTTGGCAAAGCCTTTCTTCTGATTCCTTGAACGAAAATGTGGAAGTTACCGCCTGCGGCATGAAGCATCCGCCTGGTAACATCCGGAGGATAACCGGAGATAGCCACGGCGCAGGCTAGCTTGACACTGCCCTGACACTCCGAGATTAGATAGTCAATGACCGCATCGCCTTCAGCTGTTTCAGGAATGTCAATCGCCTGTGAAGACGTTCGCCCCTTTCCCTCTATGATGTGCATTGGGGCTCCATCACAGACCTGACGCACAATTCTTCTCCCACGTGCCTTCAGCTTCCAGTTATTCACTCGAACATCAATCATAAGACCCTTATATGTTTTGCCCAGTTTTACCATAGAGCAGGTGCTGATCATATTGAGGATCTGCTTAGCAGCGCTGCCTGCTTTGAGTCTAGTGCTGCCCGTGAGAAATTCGGGACCAACCAAAGGACATATGATATGTTTCACTCCGAGCTTGCCAATTCTAGACGGATGCGTGTTCGTAATTCCAGCCGTAAGTGCGTCATGCTTGAGAGCTACTTGAAGTGCTCCTAGAACAAATGGGGTTCGTCCCGACGCTGAGATGCCAACCACTGTGTCCTGTTCATTGAGCTGGAGGGCCTCCATCCTCAGAGCTCCGTCACTCTCCACATCCTCAGCACCTTCTTGGGCCTGAATTATGGCTTCAGTGCCACCTGCAACAATGGTAAGAAACTGTCGGGGGTCAACCGAAAAGGTTACTGGCAATTCACTGCAGTCCATGAACCCAACTCGGCCGCTATTGCCGGCTCCGACATAGATGAGCCTGCCTCCAGCTTCCAGTCGCGGCGCCAAATCATCAATCAATGATGCAATATCGGGTAAGCAGCACGCGACAGCACCCCCTACTTGACTCTCCTCTTTATTGAACTCTTCACATAGGCCCAGCGTGTCAAGAAGATCGATCTTGTCCGCAGTTGAGGTTCGAGCCTCTGTCTGCAGTAGGTCCAGACGTTCGACATATTTGGATGGCGCCATGGACTGAAGTTTAGCGACTGCACGCAATGCCGCTAGAAATTGACATGTGCCTGGTGTATTGTTATTTTTGGTAAGATTTAAAGCGCTTCAGCGAGGGTCGTCATATACTAGCAATGGGCGATATCTGGCGTGGGTGGAAGTCGGTGGCCGATATCCGCCAATATTTATCCGTACTGCACCGCGTGCCAAAGTGGCACATCCGCCTTCTCCGTAGTGTGCAGTAGTCTAAGTTAGTCTTGCACTCTTGTTCGGCATTCAGGACTTCGGTCTCTTTAGCAAATGTAACTTCACCAACCGCTAATCCTGTTCTGTTCTGGGCTAATTTATCATCCCTACCTTGTCTGATTTCCGTCTGGCGCGATGGAAGGCAGAGTTTTGCTGCACCTCTGGGTATTTATACACGCATACCTTCTTCCCCCGACTAGAATTCTTTACAGTGGCTCCTGATCTGCCGGCACAATGTCCGAAGTAAAGTCCACTGAACCGGACGTAACCTCCTCCTCTCATGATGGAGACTTTATACCCCCAAGGCCAGCCAAAAATATCTGGTCCAGAATCTACCATGACCCGTGGTTTCAAGTGTCTTTGATTTCATTTATTTCTTTCTGCAATCCGGGTATGTACAATGCCCTCACTGGCATGGGAGGCTCTGGCCAGGTAGACGGCACTGTTGCTGCGAATTCGAATGTCGCGACGCATGCATGCACCGCTGGCGCAGCCCTGGTCCTAGTGGGCGCGTTCTACAAATACCTTGGCCCTCGATTATCTCTCCTGATCGGAGGGTGGACCTATGCTCTCTACGCAGGGTCGTTATTGCACTTCAACAGAACGTCAAACGGCGCATTCGTCATCGCCGCTGGAGCGATTCTAGGTCTTGGTGCCGCTTTCTTTTGGGTGGCCCAAGGTACGATCATGGTTACCTATACCAATGATAACACGCGTGGGCGAGCTATCGCGCTCTTTTGGGTGATTTTCAACCTCGGAGGAGCTATAGGCTCTCTTGCCAGTTTCGGGCTGAACTACCACTCCAAATCTGGCACGGTGACCGACTCTACCTATATCGCCTATATCGTGGTTATGCTGTTTGGATGGGCTCTGTCGGTATTTGTGTGCTCGACGGAGTCACTGTCTCGCAAATACCACGGCAGTAGGATCTCCCAGGACTCCAAGGCCCTCAATTGGTCCAACCTCCAGCGCACGGCTATGGAGACCGTCAAGATTGTTTTCGACTGGAGGGTTATGTGTCTATATCCCATGTTCTACAACGCCAACGTGTTCTATTCGTACCAACAGAATACCGTCAACGGCAAGACCTTTAACCTGCGCACACGCTCGCTCAATGGCGCATTGTACTGGATCGCTCAAATGGTAGGAGGGCTTCTGATGGGCTCTGTACTGGATCTTAAAGGGATCAACCGCCGAGCCCGAGCATGGATTGGCTGGGGAGTGTTATTTGTCACGGGCATGGCGATCTGGGGAGGAGGCTACAAGTTCCAGCTCTGGAATGACCAGCGCATGGCGCTGGGTTTCAAACAGGATATCGACTACAAGGCGGGTAGCCAGTATCTCGGCCCGATGTTCTTGTACTTCTTCTATGGCGCCTATGACTCGTTTTGGCAGTCGTATTGCTACTGGATTATCGGGGCGCAGTCCCAGAATCCTGTGGTCAACGCTGTGATTGTTGGTACGTACTCGGCTCTGAAGCCTGCGGGGGGAGCCATGGCCTGGCGAATCAATGCGAACAAACTCAACCCCATGTCTGAGTTTGCTATGAACTGGGGACTTTGCATTGGTAGCCTGGTGGTGGCAGTTCCTACTGTGTTGACGCTCAGAAAGGGGAAAGACAGTGCGGAAACAGACCACTGCTGAACCGGTGGCAACTAATGGATACCTGCCACGAGGCGCTTTGTGAGGGAGAACTATTCATCAACAAGAAGTGGTCTACCCTGGTGCAATTTTTGGTCATTTTTCCCGTCAAACTGGCGACAGATTATGTATACAGGGTTCAGTGGCTTTTAATGCCTCATAGTGAATAGATAGGAATTAATATACGCCGTGCTATTTAATACATGGTACTGCAACCCTCCAGGGTCTAGACCCACAAGCCGCTCTTTAGTTGGAGAGCATTGGTATTAGTTAATAGAATAGCGTTATGAATATCAGGTTAGACTAATGTTATTTAGTAATGTTTTCTTACCTCGCGTCAGATTCTCCACGAATGACGACTTCGAGTTTGCTAACGCGTCGGGAAATGATATAGAAGATCCAGGCTGATTAGGGCTGCAAACGGACCAGCCGAGATGCGGGGTTTCGTAGCCGAGATCCACCGAGAGCGGAAGTCGGCCGGCGTCTCGGGGTCTCAATTTCTGTCCTGCATGGGTGCCTCAGGCGCTAGCAGACCGTCACCTCGTATAAGAAACTGTTCTGGACACCGATCTCCTCGCGCGCACTAAACTTCGTCCTTACGACCCACCTTATAGTGCCGGGCCATGGGCGGGTCGAGGAAGCCTGCTAGTTGCCTGATCTGCCGCCGGCGGAAAGTACGTACTAGCTTTAAGCCCTATACCAACACGTGTCTAATAATCCACTTCCTCTAACTTCAACGCGCATTAGATCAAATGTGACCGCAGTGCGGGATTTTGCAGGAACTGCCGCAATCTTGGCGAGCAGTGCGTATATACAACGGATGCTGGCACGGATACCAACGTGACAGATGATGGACCTACATCGAGCGATTCTGTGACGCAGGCAGGGCTCAAGCGCCGACGGGTCCTCCGGTCTTGTTTAGAATGCAAGCGAACAAAGTCCAAGTGCTCGGGCGGCTCGGCATGCACCCGATGTACTAAAAAGGGTCTGCACTGTTCTTTCTTTGAGGAGGAACCGATCTCCCGAGAGGAGGCTTACATTCAGGGGTCATCGCATGCGATCCCGACATGGCTGGTCATGAGGAATTTGCCGCCAATCGATCGGGTGCGAGAGCTGATTGACATTTACTTCGCTCAGATCCATACAGTCCGCTGCATGGGCTTCTTGCATATTCCGACCTTCATGGAGCGCTTCAAGGACAGAAAGACGATCTTGACCGAGATGCCTGGCTTGATATATGTCATGTGTGCATTGGCTGCCCCATTTTACTGTGCCAGGGTGATCGCTGCTAAGGAGGATGGTCCTAGCCCTGCTGTGCTATTCTTCGATGCCGGCAGGGGCTGGGCGGAGGCGGCGTTGCAATGTATGTTTTCGAGCTTTGGGAGTCCGCGAATCGAGTGTCTTATTACTGGGGTCCTGCTCCATGAATATTACCTGAGAGTCGGCGATTATGCCAAGGGATTCCTTATCTCAGGCTTCATCGCGAGACAAGTTCAACTCCTACAGCTGAACATGGAGTACGATGACGACGTCCTGTGTCGGAAGAGTAAGTTGTCATGGGCTGCAAAGGAGACCAGGAGACGCGCTCTATGGGCATGTTATCTCCTCGATGCTTCCATAGAATGTGGCATCAACCAGCTTTGCCTGATACCCTCCGGCGATATTTACGTGCAGCTCCCCTGTTCCGAAGACCTGTTTGTGCGTAACATCCCATGCAATACAGAATTGTTGACCAGAGGCAAACTACTTCCCTTCGCTGACTCCTCAGCGGTGGGTGCGGCGGGGAATCTCGATCTCCGTGCATACTACATTAGAGCAATGGCTATCCGTTCCAAGATCTTGAAATATGTCAAGAACTTGGAGGGGGAAATCCCCTGGGAAGTCACTGAAAGCTCCCAGTTTCATAAACTCGACCGTGAAATCAGGGAGCTCGATGCTTCCATCCCAGACAGTCTCAAAATGTCTTCGGAAAATGTATACATCTTCAAGGCGTCTGGCCGCTTAAACTTGTTTTTTGGTGTACACATTCTCATTGCCCAGACATTCAACGACCTGTACCGTATCGGCGTATCAAGACTGGTCTTCCCGAATACTGCGACTAAATGGATACGGGAAAACGCGCCGGTGGATTTCATCAGACTCTGCCATCGAACCTGCATCAGCAAGGCCGTGTATATTGGATCCTTACTAAAAGACCTCTGGAATTGCCACAAGCTGAGCATTGTCGACCTTCCCTACGCGGTACATACGCAGATATGTAGCAGCGTCCTGGTCACCAGCCTGTCGTCATGGAGGGAGCCCGAATCCCCGCTCCCTCACCTGTCCCACAGCGACTACAAGGGTATATTGCAGACCAACGTCACAATTCTGAAGTACCTACAGAGGTACATCAAGGCAGACCTATACTACGAGTCGGCTACTCAAGCGCTAAGGCACTTCAACACACGATTCTGCCACGAAACCCCCGAACGCAGAGCAACTGGCCCCATAAGAGATACCAGTCCGATAGACAGTAGCGATCATACTAGACCGTCCCAATCTTTGGAGCATATCTTGAACCCCCTGGGTACGTATCCCATGGCCCGCAAGCAGGTACAACACTATGATCAGCAACATGTGCGTGATGGGACATCAGACCAGCCGTCAGTCCCGCAGTCAGATATCGGGAACTCGTACCCATCTGCCGCGGACAATCCTGCAACTGTGGATGGATTCTTGGGCTTCCAGGACCAATCCTTCTTCAGCCAATTCCCGGACTGGGCACCCGACATTCCAATCATGAGTGACATGGGATATCCTACATTTTTGGACCAGTACCCCGTCAGTATTGGTGATGGTACCCTGGTAATCTAGTCTTAGACGTGCTGGAGGAACTCCTTGAACGAGTTCGGGTAGATTATGTACATAAGTTGAACCCTCGACGCTGTTTCCAATAGAACACCTGTATGATACTGTGGATGCCGAGCAGAATCCCGCCGAGTGGGGCCCCGAAAGGTCTTTAGGGTTCCGGGCCGGGAGTCCATGAGGTCAATGAGTCAAACCGCAGGAAAAAAGAAGCATTTAATCCCCATCTTCCCCACCATTCATTCGTTCCCACCTCTCAAACAACATTCCATTCGATTCAACCACCATCATGCCGCAAAGTCTTCGCTTCGTCACCCTGGACGTCTTCACCACCGAGCCGTTTCTAGGCAATCCACTCGGCGTAGTCTTTCTCCCCAACTCGCCCGAACATGGCATCACGCAAGAACAAAAGCAACTCATAGCCCGGGAATTCAACTACCCGGAGACGATCTTCGTGCACCCACACGCACCCTCCGACACAACCAGAAAGATCGACATCTTCACCACAGCCGAAGAGCTCCCCTTCGCGGGCCACCCCACCATCGGCGCCGTAACATGGTTCCTGGAGCTCTCGCCCGATTCCGCCGACCGCACGAACGTGGACACCCTCATCACGAAGGCGGGTCCGTTCGCCATGGCTCGCGTCCCGAACGCGGGCGGCGCTGTGGCCGCCAGAATCGCGCATAACGTGCACATCCACTCGCGCCGGTTCCCGCTGGCGGAGCTGCTGCGGCTTCATCCTTCGCTGGGGGAGTATCTTGGTGGCGGCCGTGACGGAGCGAACGAGGAGGGCTTCCCCGTCTTCTCGATCGTGAAGGGCATGACTCAGGTGCATGTCCAGTTGCCCAGTTTGGAGGCGTTGGCTGCCGCGGAGGGGCCTGTGAGTGGCGAGGTTGTTCCTTGTACTTCTGTTTCTGAGGGTGGGTATCTGGATGCCGGGTGGGAGGGGGACGGGCTGATTGTAGTCTATTTCTTTGTCCCGGGTGTTTATGATGAGAAGACGGGGAAGACGGTTATTCGGTCGCGCATGTTCTTGAGGAACTTTGAGGATCCGGCCACGGGGAGTGCGGCCAGTGGACTGGCGGCGTATTTGACCCTGACTAGGGCGAGGGAGTCGAGCGACATCGCGTTTGATTATGATATTGTGCAGGGGGTCGAAATGGGGAGGAGGAGTGATATTGGGGTTGCTGTTACGGTGGATCGGGAGGATAGAGCCAAGGTGGAGAGCGTGGAGCTTCGCGGCACTGCGGTCCAGGTCAAGTCGGGTGAGATTAGGGTTTGATCTGGGGTAGCTGTATGTAGACACACATTTCATTGGATGCGTCGGAACATGTCCTGTATTTCTTCAACCAGCCCCCAAAAGTATGGAAGTCAATTTTGGGAGATCCTCTAACGGTTGATCCACTGAAAGAACTGGCGGAGAAAATCGTGGGTCGTGGCAGATCTTTCAGAGTGGCGTCTTTCTCCTTCGCCACTATGGAAGACCATAAAGATATCTATGATTTCATGGCGTGAGAAGTCTACTTTGCAATGGACAATCTAGACTGTATTCAGAGACGCAAAACCCGGACATGTTGGTATTTACCTGTGGGGCATCTATTAACTATGATACATGATAAGCCCCACAAAGTCAATTATGACGGCGAGATCTGCTTAGTAGTGTGCAATACGGTTCTTAGTTGCAGCGAACCCTTCAATCTCCACCTCGACGACGTCAGAATGTTGGAGGAACTCCTTTCGGAAGAAGCCTACCCCAGATGGGGTTCCAGTCATGATGATGGTGCCCCTACGGAGAGTCGTCCCACGAGACAGATGACTGATGATCTGCCGAACGGTCCAGATCATGTCCCCAGTACTGGTCTCCTGCTTCACCACGCCATTGACCCTGGTAATCAATTTCAGCGCTTGGGGGTCGACAATCTCGTGCGCTGCGACGATGGTATGGCCAATTGGTGCGAATTTGTCCATCGATTTGGCAAAGCAAAATTGGCCACCGCTGGCCTCTGGCAACTGGAAGTTTCGTGCAGAAAGGTCATTCCCAGCTGTATATCCCAGGACGTAGTCTAGGGCTTCAGATTCCTCAACATTCTTCGCATCTTTCCCAATGACAACGGCCAATTCACCCTCGAAGTCAAGTTGATCGCGCGCGTCGGGGTGGATTTCGATCGTCTCAAACGGCCCGGCGAGCGAATCTGCTGGCTTGGTGAAGACGACTGGATATTTGGGAATGGGTAACTGTTGATAAACACTGTTAACATGAAATGGTCTGTCTGGTGGAACTCTCGTTACCCACGTTTGCTTCCGTTGCGTGCTGTCTGTAATTTACCCCGATGCATTGCACGATGGGCGTGCTTTCGATTGGGCATTCGAGCTACATGATGTACATCAGCTACTAACTCTTGGTGTAATTTGGCAGCTTGCATACCGAGCCAACCGTTAGAATATCTTCTGTCTTCTTGAAACTGGTAGAAAGATTCCCCTCCAATCTCCTAACTGTGTATTTATTTCCGACCACGTTCATAAGATCACCATAATGGACCCGTGTGCGGTAGTTAAAGCGAACCAATCTCTTGAACACGGACATGATGGGTTCGTTGTTGCGATCCTCCAATCTGAAGTAGAAGACTAACGGCTACCGTATGAACTTTATACAGGCTTTCTGTAGGGAGTATGATAAGGCGTGTTGTGGGATTTATGGGAGATGTGGGATCAATGCTTGTCACCATTCCAGCGCGATCATAGTGCACGAAAAGGCAGCCAGACACCGTCATCCTTCAATATATTCCTTGAGATTTGCATTTGTGTCTATTTTAAGCTCATGTGGCTCTTCATCAATACTCCACTTCTATAGTTCAGAGACGGTCGATTTCACAACACCGTAGGGCAATCTCACACTCGGGGCAGTGGGCTCAGTTGTGGCAAGTGCACGTGCAAGTCTTCTTAGCATAGCCTCTCCAGTAACATAGACTACTCAAGCGTAAAAGCAGACTTAGTATTTTTGTGATTAAGGCAAAGGCTGCCAAGCACTCTTTGACTACTAGAAATGATACTTATACGTCCTGTTAAACTCAAATGTGTATTCACACAGCCGGCAGGACCTAGTTGAATAGGTCGAATGATCTACTTAGGCCATCAGAGTGTCTACATTCGCATCAACAAGACCATAAGCGGGCATTGCTCAAATATTCAGTGATCATATGGTCACTGGCCAGCGTAATATCGATAAAACATGCTCAAATTGATCGAGTACGCCGAAGACACCAAGAGGATGTACGATCCTCGAGAGATACATCAAGTACGGGACAAACATAGGTTAATCATTTACGCCAAAAATGCAGCAGGAACGTCAGGGCCCCAAACAGCCAATGACTCCGACCCAGCCTGTACATATCCCACTGGCGTATGTTTGTTGACCAGGTCTCCATCGGCGTAGTGCTCAACCATATTTCCAGTGGTGTCCCACCAGTAGTCGAAAATCTGCGATCCCAGAACGTGGCGACCAATTCCCCAGACTGACTTATAGCCCTTCTGAGCAAGCCATTGATGGCCCAGGTGTTGCGTGTCATAATCGTGGACCTCAAAGGAGCAGTGATGGACATGGGCTGCTTGAGGATTCGCGCTCAGGAAGAATGAATGGTGATCTGACATAGCTTCTCCGAGATCAATGTGGGCGAACATGGTGACGATCTGTCTTTTGTTGTCCTTCTCAACATACAGAAGGTCTGTCGGGACGATGTTGAAGGTTGAAGTGTAGAAACTCAGCAATGTGTCAAACTGCTGTGTACAGAGTCCGAAGTGGCCCAGCTGTGTGATTATCAGCAAATGCAACGAAGACAGGGCTCGAAAAGAGAACTCCCTACCTTATGAACAGCAGCAGGCCCAGTTTCGAATCGGTTGAACTTTCGCTGACGAGATTTCTCGTCTGTGTAATTCAAGATAATATGTTCGGGGTATTTTGTCTCGGCCGCGGGTGTTGTTTGCCCATAGACAACATTAAAAGGGAAACCCTCTGGATCAGTGATGGTCACGATAGAACCTCCACCAGGCGCGTCGCCTAGATCTTGGACGGGACCAGCAGTCGGGAGCTTCGAAGCCCTTCAAAATACTTGTCAGATCTCTTCCCTGCAGCAGAGAGGGGAATCGGCAGGGAGATTGTTGAAAGCATACTTATCAAATTCCTCTTGGCTCTGCGCTACAAAAGCACCACCCAGAAACTTCTTAGGCCCCTTGCGGGCATAGTAGACATACGGATCGGGGCCATAGCCTTTGAACCAGATCTCCTCCTCTGTTTTCTTCGCAATCTGCATTCCAAAATCTGAGACAAGTCAGCCGTGGTGCACGAGTACCAAGACTTATCGGAGAATTACCCAGCATGAAACGCTCGATCTCATCCAGAGACGGGTGCTGATATCGCATATGACCTAGCCTTTGCAGATGAACGCGGTCTGTGGGGTTGATTTGTTGCTTCGCGAGCCAAGCTGACTGCGACTCCGTATCCGCCAAAGCGACGGTATCTGGGATCGATGCCCCATGGTTTGGTGTCGGTGCGGTAGCCATTGTTAGATCAGATGAACATAGATCTCTTGTCCAGTGTCTATCGCTGAAAATGGGCTCGACAGTCACTTTTATACCAAGCATGATGTATCCCAATCTCGGAACGGTGGGGCTAATATTGGCACCACAGCCAAGATCCCGGAACCATTGTAGTCCCCACTGGTGACGTTCTATATGCATGTATAGACCTGGATATATGCTGTACTGAAGGGTGACTTTTTGCCACGGTATCGACACGGTGTTATCTACGTGGGGTTGCTGGCGATCCTACTTCCGGGAGAGGCAAAGGAAAAGCTACATATACCGAATGGCCACTTTTCTGTCGTCTTTATCCGTTATTCCGGGAATCCGCTTCGAAGCTTCATGATAGATCCCACCTCCGAGTCTGGCTCATCTTAAATGGCTACAAAACAGCAGAATGCCCCGTAAACAGACAGGGAAGCTCGTGTGGATCCCGAGATCTGAGATCTAAGTTCAAACAGCCACTGTTCCCACGTTGGAGTTGGGGTATGAAAGATTCCTTCTCATATAAGAACTGCTTCCACCTGAACAAAAGTTTTGGTTTTCACTTCGTGTTCACCACCCCCATCAGAAATCTCCCTTGAATTGCTTGAATCTTGAATTCCATTATGGCATCTTCAGACGAGTACGAAACCACAGACATTCTGGTTTGCGGCTGCGGCCCAACTGGTGCCATGTTATCAGCCTACCTCGGGCGACTGGGAGTGCCAAATATTGTCATCGAGAAAGAAGCCGCCATCACAACGGATCCTCGTGGTATCGCTCTGGATGACGATGGCATTCGATATCTACAAGGTCTTGGCTTGTATGAGCATATTTTCACGGAGATAGGTTCCTGTATGTTCAAAGTCTGCTCAGTCAACCGTACTCCAGTCTGACCAGCCCAGGTATACAAAAGGTCCGATTCATCAGCGGTAGAGAGCAGAATCTGCATAAGGCGCCATTTCTGCAATTTGACACGGCGTCGGTAAGTGACCTGTATTCCAAGCGAATTTGCAGACCTGTGGGTAACGATTTCTCAAGTCAGAAGGAAATACTGGGCATATTGGCGTTATTGCCCACAAACAGCCGGTCCTCGAAAAGAACCTTCGGTCGGCTGTCGAGGAAAGCAATTTCTGCGAGCTGAGAAGCAGCTGCACGTTGACCGCGATCTCTGAGGATGAGCAGTGGGTGTATGCGACATATACCGATGCTTCGGGCGCAGAAAAGAAAATACGCTCGAAATTCCTCGCTGCTGCGGACGGCAAAACTGGCTTTACGCGAAAGATGTATCTGGAGCCTAAAGGAATCCAAATGGAATGGGCGGAAAAGTATAAGCTACCTCTCTCTGGAGCGCCCAGATTCAGTGTACTGACAAGAACTCAGGTCGAAATATCAAGAGACATGGGTTGCCCTGAACTGGAAGATCCAGCTGCCTTCGCAGGAAAGTCACCCTACGTTCCCGCTTTGGGGTCAGGGATATACTCCGGAGGACGTCTACGATCTTTTCTTCCCAACAGACTTTCGCTTCCTTTGCAATGATGAGCGACCTGCTGTATGCGGTCGTTTTGGCCTTCCGGAAGACCGCCTTTGGCGATTTGAGTTTGTGGTGGCGGATGGAGAGGACGATAATGAAATGGCTACGAAGGATAAAGTACGGGAGGTGGTATTGCCCTACTTGACTCTCCCTGGGAGCCGATTTGGGTGAGTTGGTCATTCCTTCAGTTGAGGACCAATATCCCTTGTGCTAATGTGACGACCTAGACTGCAAGAGGACGTGAGCTTTCCCGAAGACTGTATCGAAGTTCTGAGGTCCAGGCCGTTCCGTTTCTCTGCCAGAAGCTGTAATCAGTGGGCGTTGAACCGGGTCATTCTTTGTGGCGATGCAGCCCATGTGTTTCCACCATGTAGGATTTCACTATCCATCCTTTCTTGAAACAATATTGACGAATTCTTCTAGTTGGAGGGCAAGGAATTGCCTCTGGGTTCCGTGACGCCATTGCGCTGTCCTGGCGTCTCGCACTGATCTGCAGATCTCAAACCCAGCTGGACTACCGTAGCCATCTGCGAGGTTGGTTCTTGGAGAGAAAGCAGCAGCTGGATGCTTCCTTAGCCGCGACGGTTCGCAACGGGGAAATGGTCGCTGGCAAAAGCTTTGTGCACGACTTTGCCCGCAACTGGGGCTTATGGCTTATCCAGCTGATTCCCAACTTCAAGCACTGGCTTGAGCTTGGCCCCCGGGGTGACGGTCCCATGCAGTACACGCACCTCCCAGGGATGCCTTTCATGCCGGAGTTGAAGGGTGGCCTTTGCTTCCCTCAATCATATTGTGTCTCCTTGACCCAAGGCCCCGCCGTGCACTTTACTGACGATGCCATCTTTACGGGGAAATCTGGCTTATTCCAACTGGTTGTTTTGCTTGACAACCCTGGTGAGTTGGACGATGCCAGGACGCACCTGCAGAGATTCAGCCGCAGAACCCCTCTGCTTTCGGCCAGTGAAGCTACCTTTTTTGTGCCTCGTACTGCTTGCGAGGAGATGAGCTCCAAAGAAATATCTGCGCTGCCACCAAACCTGTTCCGCACTGCTACGGGCGATGAATTCGCGGTATCTCCGCTGTGCAAGAATCGACCAGTGCCGAGGGGATATAATGAAAAACTTATGTGGGATGTCCTACCTCGGAAACGATATGTCATTGTGAGATTGGATCGCTTTGTGTTTGCGGCTTGCAATTCAACGACGGAGCTGGAACAGGCTGTGGAGCGTCTGTCTGAATTGTTCGATTGATGGGTACCGTCGGGTGTACACACAAAACAGACGAAGCATTGTATACAATTGCATAAATATCTTCGGAGGATTATTCCGTAACGAAATGACTTGAATCTGATGCTTTATATAATTCCCTTAAGTAAATGTATACTATTTTCTCGGATGATTTAGGGTTAGTAGCAGAGACTATGACGGTACTATGGCCCAGAAGAGGCTTAGCGCGCCGATCGAAACCCCACTTACCCCACCCTCTTCTATGTGTTGTTACTAAAGAAATGACAGTCAAGTCACAGCAGTATAGGCTGCAGATCTTGAGCTCCGACCTCTTCAGGATTAGTTACAGATATGCAAGACGAGTGCGATATACACACTTCCATGCAAAGCCCCGAGCCATCCTCCGTCAACTCAGACGAAGGGGGATTCAACACACCAACACATGACACCCAATCCCACTTCTCCAGCGATGAGTACAGCGCACCGCAATATGACGGCACCATGCCTAGATACATAGACCCCAACCTCGACATACCGCACTACACGAGGGTGGACGAAAGTGCAGTAGGGGTGTGTCCCTGGAAAGGAGGCACGTACATCATCCGCGACCCGGCGACCAAGCTCGTCATCGCCCTAGAGAAAGGAGTGTTGGGCATGTACCCTGAGATATACGAAGTGGACGGCCTACTATACCAGTCTGGGCGCGGCAGTCACTGGCACTGTGTGGAGAACGACCGGATGTGGCTTGGCTTCTGTAACGAGGTCTCGGGGACATATATCGGCCATAATAATCGGAAGAGCAACTGGCGGTTTCAGGCCAAGGCCGAACGGCATGATGAGTGGGAGTGGTTTTGCGTGCGGCAGCACCCAACTGGTGGGCATATTTTGCTGGTGAAGCACTGGAGCGAGTTCTTGCCGATGCGAATCGGGGGGGAAGGCGGCCGGGAGTTAACGGTGGATGCGAAACGAGAGGGTGGGACCGTCTGGGACTTTATTAGGGTTGGGGAGGAAAGGTGAGCTAGTGATATTCAGATATATGGAGCTTGAGAGATGGTTGGGAGTTGCAGCTCAGTGGAAGTTTGCTTCCCATCTGTTGATTTGAACCCTTGGCTGTCTTATGTATAGCTTCAATTGGGTTGGATTTGGATCCAAAATTTAGGGTTTTTAATTAAGTTGAACTAATATAATCTGCCCTAGCAAAACAGCTAGTAATGGTCTCATATTGAACAGACTATTGCAGTATAACCACCAATAGACCCTTCTAGACACACTTTTTCTTGGCAGAGGATTGATTAATTGGGACCATGGTCTGACGCCTTTTGCATCTCTCGCGTCTTTCGCGACCTCCTAAATGCAGTAATTATGAGAATTTAACCTACAAGTAGCACTCCACTTCGTTGCTTCTTCTTTTTTAGTCGTTGAAACCATTTCTCCTCATATATTCGCATCCTACGGTCACGCTTATACTAGTAGCCAATCGCTTCCAGCATTCAAGACAATCGATTAACCAGTAGCCGAACCTAATTCCTAGAATATACATGACACGACTTGGTATACTTCTCTATCCTCCCTACGCTCTGCTACAATTGATTGATTAAAACATAGAAATTTACTAATTATCAGAGCTAAATTGTGCCGCCATGTCTTCATCTTCCGATCTTATCTGATCTATGATCTATAAAAAAGTAATTCAGCCTTTTAATCTTATTCCACTTCTGAGTGAGCCTTGGGTCATTTCATTCATGCAGAGGTCGCCTCTTTAGCAAACGTCTCGAAGAGTGTCTGAAGACGACGGCCTTCACTGTCCGCCACGTCGGAGTAACTAGCGGCAGCGCCGAAGGGGTGGTACGGAAACGGTCTAGATATCACCAAATAAGTTAGTAACGCACACAAGCTACCTGAACAGGAAGAAAAACGCATACCCGTATTCAGGGACAAAAGTAATTGGAGATGACGTCTGTCCGACAATTGACTGGATAATCTGTTTCCAAGAATTCTCAAAGAACCGCCGCTCCTCTGTAAACACGTCGTTGGTTGGGTCTGGGCATTGGGATGATTGTGTTGTTCCAATTCTTGCGTGGATATGAGTCACCTAGCGGGGAGTATGCATTAGAATTGGACGATAGCTTATACGGGGAAAGGAGACCAACGCGAGGAATGATAGCGCGCAGAAGTTCCTTGTCCTCCTCGCCCTGGTCCAGAAGGCGTTCACAGACGACAACGAAATGGGAGAAGTCGGCTGTGACTTGCAGACTTGGGTCATTGTTAGTGGACTTGTCTTGGGTATTTAACTGTACATGGCTTATAATACCTTGGGACTCTTTTTAAGACTGCTGCGGTGGAGTAGGGGCTGAAAAAGGCCCGGTTTCTATGAGTTTCGTGGCTCACCAAGCCGGCCAGGCCGAGCTCGGCGTCGATGGCGAGAGTGCCCGTGAAGAATTCCACAGACTGATCGATCGACCACCCGTCACTGTCCTCGTGGTCAGTACCATCTCTTACTCTTCGGCATGGTTTGGGAACCGTACTCGCCGGAGTGTGCATTGATCTTGAACGGTTTAAGCGTCTTGGCGATCTCGAGCTGGGCTCGATAGTTCGTAAGATGGTCTGTTGGGGTCAGGCCCACCGGCTTTGGGCCAACATAACAGGGCCATTTGGAATGGATCCTTGGGTTGGAACGTTAGTTTTGTTGTTGACATACGGTATGTCCGTGAGGGTCAGTTGGGCAGCAATATCATGTGCAAGATACTCACATAACACAGATTTCTAGCCCGACTTCATCGCAAAGCCGACGGATTGTAGAGATGTTTGGCAGAGGAGCTATGTCAACTTCGATCCCCACTACGATGGCACAGAACCACGTTAGTCCACTGCTGCTCCCCCGGGGAACTCTCAAGTTTCCTACCATAGCCTTGGTCTTTCAAGGTCGGAAGCCATTTCTGCCAGTTCTCGTAGTTATCGCCTGTATCAACCCCCCATGTGGAGCGGAATCGGAGGATCTGTGACATTGTGGTTCGCGGAGAAGTAGTAACAAGTCTTCGACTCGGCCAAAATGGAAGAGTAAGAATTGACGTTGCCTTCAATGCGCGACATCGTTGCAGACTGGGAAAGATGCTGTATTTCTACTTCAAGAAAACGAAAAGAGGCAGCATGAGGGGAAGAAGCAAGATCGAAAGAGTAAAGAACCACGCAGCGGGTCCGTTGACGCCATTGTCGCGATTAGGGCTTCGCGACACCGTCTCGGTGGGGTAATTTTTCCCCATCCAGCCACGGGGAAAGATGCCGAGAATGGCAGAGCGATCTCCACCTCACTTTTTACGGAGATTATCCCCTACAGCTTGGCCATGAGGGGAAAACTAATGGTACTAAGCAATTATATTCAGCTGATTGTATGGGAATACCATAGTCCGTCCTGATAGCCATGCGGGGTAGTTATTCCAGTATAAAATGCCTATCGCTCGCACCGCGATCTGCTCATAACGATACCTGCTTTTGCAACCTGAATTGTCATCTTTCTTCTCTCTAATCCAGTCGCAATGGCCCCAACTACCATGAAAGCAGTGAATTATGTGGGACCGCATAAGGTCCGGGTCCAAGAAGTTGAGATGCCCAAGCTGGAACATCCGGACGACATCATTGTCAAGGTCACAACGGTGCGCTACCATCAATGTCACACCACAGGGATCCTTACTAACTCATGATCTAGGCTGCTATCTGCGGCTCTGACCTGCAGTAAGTATACTTTGGGGGGCGGGGAGTTGCAAAACAATATGCACAGAACTCATGGATTGCGCAGCATGTATGAAGGAAGAACCGCTGCAGAGCCAGGCATCACGTTTGGTACGAAGACATGGAAATAGCATAGTGGCCGTTACTGATGGTCTAAAAAAGGTCACGAAAACATGGGAATTGTCGAAGAACTAGGCGAAGGTGTCACACTGTTGAAGAAGGGTGATCGCGTTGTCATGCCGTTCAATGTTGCGGATGGTCGATGCCGCAACTGTGATGAAGGCAAAACGGCTTTCTGCACTGGTGTCAACCCCGGGTTTGCAGGTGGTGCTTATGGTAATACATTGACATGGGTGGATGAGAGTCCTGTTGGCTAATCACAAGCAGGTTACGTGGCTATGGGCCCGTATCGCGGAGGTATGTGCTTAAATGGGCCCGATGACAAAAATATCGGCGAGTTGATCTGATCGCAATATGAAGGCCAGGCTCAGTACATTCGTGTTCCCTATGCGGACTTCAACGCTCTGTTGCTGCCGCCGGGCACAGAGCACGAAGCCGACTTTGTTCTTCTCGCAGGTGAGTGGCCAGCACTCATTACCTACCTTGTTGCCCTTTTTCCACTAACCAAGTGGTGTAGATATCTTCCCGACAGGTATGACTCCTACGAACCCTTCTACACCAAGCCGTTGTGTTAACGATGAACTATAAGGTTGGCATGGTGTCGAGATATCCGGCTTCAAGTCAGGAGAAAGCATTGCTGTGTTCGGCGCCGGTCCCGTTGGCTTGATGGCAGCTTATTCGGCTCAGTTGCGCGGAGCCTCTCGCGTGTTCGTTGTAGACCGTGTTCCTGAGAGACTGGCTGTTGCAGAGAAAATCGGCTGCACCCCAATTGATTTCACCAAGGGCGACGCCGTGGACCAGATCATTCGCCTCAATGGCGGAGAGGTCGACCGCTCCGTGGACGCTGTCGGTTACCAGGCTGTAGACACCAGCGGATCGAAGGAGAAGCCCAACATTGTGCTGGAGAATATGATCCGCGTCACGAGGGCCTGCGGAGGCATGGGAATTCCTGGCCTCTACGTGCCAAGGTTAGCCATCCCGCTGAAACCCTATGGTAGCTTCAAGAAGCTAATGTTCTTTTCAACTAGTGATCCGGGTGCATCCGATGAAGTCGCCGCGAAGGGCGCAATTAGTCTTAGCTTTGGGAAGCTTTTCGAGAAGGAAAGTGCTTTGCCACTGACATCGGCTGTTTCACATTGCTAACTTGCTGCAGGGTCTCTCTCTTGCTACCGGCCAATGCAATGTAAAAGCATATAATCGGTACCTACGAGACTTGATCATTGCCGGCAAGGCAAAGCCTAGCTTTGTCGTCTCCCATGAGATCAGACTGGATCATGCGGAAGTTGCGTACGAGAAGTTCGACAAAAGAGAAGACGGGTATACCAAGGTGCTGATCCATCCAAACGGGGGATTTGAATCCACGACAGTCGGACAGGTCAGTTAAAACATACCGGTCTATGTTCATGGGATATTGTTTGGTGGAGGGTCTGAGTTGCTGAGATAACTGGCAGGTTACGTCAAAATTATGATTGAATGTCTGGAGGTTCCAAGGCGCTGGTTGTCTGAAACCATTGGGCTAGGGTTTTCTTTGATTTACAATTTATAGAAGTTCATTTCTTTGAATTATCTTAGTCTTTCATATTGCGTAGTTAAAATATATCAAGTACCTACTGTTTTAGGACCTAGTTGAGGAAACAGCAAAGCAAAAGGTGAGTTCTTCAACAAGGGTAAAGAATATTAAATGACTCTGTATAATACAGCCAAGGAAACAGTAAGGATAGTCAAATGGTAAGAATACAAGGAAAGAAAATGAAAGGAGGTCCAGGATGGAACGTGATCAGCCGAGCCTAGCGATATGTAGCGGTAGGGGAGTACCTTCCAGGGTGCGCATAGTAGTTAGAGGCCGCCCCTTTACAGGTGTCCGTGTCGCCGATGAGAGCCCATTCGTCGGTGGTGGTGTGCGCGTTTGGTTGGCTGAGTTTCTGACGAGGGGGTTGGAGGGACAGAGGAAGAAAGAGGTGTTGATGAACTTGGTGGAGCCGACGAAGGAGTAGTAGACGGCGTTGGATAAACCGAGGGTGGAATGGGTGAAGATGATGGACGGGCACTGCTGGATGGTGTTGGGCTTCCAGAGGGAGTCGGTGTACTGCTCGGTTCAGGGCCGACAGGGTAGCATTTTGATTCAAGTGGCGCAGTGTATTCCTGTTCGTCCTGACGGTTAGCCTGCGCTTTCTATAGTATTCCATGCCACATACAGCAAGAATATGGTCAACATCCGGTGCTCCATCGTCATTGCCAAAAGTGGCTTCAAAATTGAGGGTAACACTCGCAGACGGGTCGACCGTGACCCCATTCTGACGGTGCTTGGGGTCATCAGGGCAAGCCCCTTCAGTCGCTGTGATCTGTCAGTAACTGAACCACCAGGGAATGTACATTGGCAAGCACTTACAATGGACAGCAGACATGGTGGCGGCAATAATTGGTTTCAAATTTAGGCCCACCTCGACTCCCTTGCCTATGTTTCTTAGCTTGCATTATTCATCAGTTGAGTGGATGTCTTACCTATCACCTGGACAGAAATCTGCAATGATGCTTTAGGATAGAACTCAATGTCACCCTCGATCTCCGCATCAACCGAGACAGGAGTTGCTTGAACTGAGGGCGTCCAGCCATCCGCTTTCACGCTACGGGATTCAAGGTCGAAGGATACCTCAGCAGAATCATCGAGACTGACAGTAGTTCCAGCCGTGATGGTAGCAGAGCCAGTCACTGGACCCATGTTATATCCGAGACTGAAAACAATCTGAGGTCCAATGTTCAGGACGCCACCTGGAATAGAGATGCCAGCAATGGGTATCCTTCCGATGTCGAACTCTCCGCTTTTCTGGTCCTTGATGTCACTATCGATGGCAAGTCGTGGCATAAAGGTGGCCGATACACCGTTAGGGCTAAGACTGAAGCTTCCCGTCTTGGGGATCCCAGCAACAGTCTTCACGTGGAAATTCAGTTCAAAAGCACCTTGAGTGCTACAGTCTGCACAGTCCCAGATAACGTCAATGCTCTCATCTGGAAGCCTTCCGCTCTTCACAGGTATCACGTGGTTGAAGTCCACAGATGTGGATCGGTCAATATCACGTCTTGCTGCGGAAGAGGCCTCGTGTTTGCCTATGTTGAGCTCATAGGTATGTGCGATCTCGTCCCACTTTGAGCTGTGACCCTGAAGCTTGGTGGTTTTGGTGGTCTCGTCATACGAAACACTGGAAACGACGAATGGAAATCGGTTGGCGTTCCATTTGCAGGAGCCTTTTCCAAGTACTACTACAAGACTGTGGTCATCCATTTCATTGATCCATTGCCAGGCGTTCTCCGTGTAGGCAAAGGCTTGGTCCTCTTTGAAGGTCATTGCAACACTAGTGTTGGTGCAGTGAACTGATTCAAGTAGGTTCTCGAACCGCTCCATGGACACAATGTTCTCTTGTTCGCCGGGAAGCGAGACTGTGAAGTTGGCCAAAGATGACTGGCCATTTTGTTCTCCTAAGTGTAATGATAGTTCATTAATACTTGTTCTCTTGACATCCAAAATCGCACGTACCGCTGTAATAGAACGAGTCCTGCTTGAGCAGATCAAGGTTCGAGTATCCAGAGCCACGCACGGCCAGAGAATGCGGTTCTACTTGCAGGTGACTGATTTCCTCGAATACCAGCGACAGTCCCTGCTGGGCGTGTAGCATAAGCCACGAAGCCAGCCAAGTGCGCACAGGATGCATCTTGGATTGTTGAGGCAAGATGGACAATTGGGATGCTTCCTTTCAAACTCGCCATGTTCATCATCAGCGCCTTTATATCATTCTCAATACACTGTTCTTCAAAGACACTCAGGGGCCATGATGAAGTTCTCTTCCATGTAACCTTCTTCCTTTTCCCCTGCAGTAGTTCGTCGTTTCATCGCAAAGGATCGGATATCACAATTTACGAGGCCGTATTGACGAGCCCAATGCTCCACAAGACGAGCTTACAGATTCATATTTCGCTTAAAGACAACCCATCCTTTAGGATTCAGCAATGTATAATTAATAGAGGGCGATTATTATCCTTGTTAGGCAATAAGTGGAGATGAGAAAAACGTTAGACATACGTCGGCTCACTATCGGGAAGGTTGGCTTGTTGGTCGGCAGCTTGCCGATAGCATCGGCTCCGCCGACGCCTAAGAACACAATGCCACCCAGGCACCTCGAGATATGTATTTAGGCCATAGATCTGCATAGCTTCAGGAGATTATTGGACGTCAGCAGGCAGAGCTACCCGCTTGCAGCATGTCACAAACGAAAAATAGATCCTTCATCCTTTCGCCCCCATCTTTGACGTGGCTCAGATCAGCTAATGGTTGACTGCAATTACTAGAATTATAGTAAGTTTCCTATCTAGAATACTCAGACGTTCGAGACCTGTGGCCTTTCTGGAATAGAACAATCATTTAAACATCTGCAATGATGCGATAGAATCCAAGCATTCATGGATGAGAGAGCTTGCGATGATTACCCCGTGCATTTCATCCAAGATAGAAGGACTACCTTTCAGGGCATTCAGGATCGTTGATCCCGAATTATTCTGACCTTTTGGCCTTATAAAATAGAATATGTCAGCTGTATCTGTCACCGAATTGATAGCGATCATGCAAGGTGACTGTACAGTATACCCTGCCCCAGGTGCATGGACATCCCAGTGGCCGAACGGCGCCTTCGGTGTCTATATCAGTCACCTTTCGAATGATGTACAGTGGCCCCCCTTTGAGAAAGGCTCACTGTATACAGAGAACTTTAGGGGTCCTTGGCTATAAATTAGTACTGTAGTCAATAGTGGGAAAATCAAGAATTAGTCTTCTGTCGATAGACTATCTACTGTTGTTTTGCCTATGTATCCTTACCTAGTTGACAGATCTAATTTACTATATATAAGATTATTATAGAGGACAGTTAAATAAAATCTTTAAAATAGATATTAGAAAGTAGTCTAAATATAATCCCAGGATTTAATCTTATCTATCTACTTATATTTTTAAGGGATAGAGATTAGACTTATATAATTATATCTATAAAGGCTTGGGATAGGCCTCTCTTTATAAAAAAGATAATTATAACGGCGGGCTATATAAGTTACCCCGGGGTATTCAGGATTGTTAATCCCGAGTTATTCTAACCTTTTGGCCTTATCGAATAGGGTGCCCTGGCTCTATCTCCCACACTGTAACTATCTGCCGGTTTCTTTTATTGTGATCACTTTATCATTAATGCCCAAGTCTAGACTGTGGCATATACACTCCAATAGATATAAGATTCAATACTATAGCTGTAAATTACGGATAGTAGATGTAGCTTCAATAGACTGACATTTGACAAGGTTAGGTTAGGTTAATAGTAATCATCAACTTCTTCATGAAACCCGCCAAGAACGCCACCAGACTGTATGGGCACAACCAAAAATCGCTTCTAAATTGTCCGAGGCTCCGAGCAATATATAGTACCCCCACAACGGTGAGACCGGACAGGTTCCGCTTTGTAGGCAGAGCTGTATCCAGGAATTGTTCAAACGACGCTATGTACATGATTGCTAATTCGACAATATTCCCCTTAGTCTGCTTTAGTATAGTAATGGTATTACTGTCTTCTACTTCAGGTATCATTATCGTAGTAGTTCAAAGTCCGAGTCTAGAAACCAGAGATGCCCAATCACGTGATTTACAAGGTCCTTCCAAATGTCTTTCGAATCAGCATAGATGTAGTTAAACTGACGAGTACGAAGATAGTTTTGAAAGTTTGTCGGGGTCTCAAAGCGATAGAGCCCTATTGGAGGTAATTATAGAGGATAAGAATACTATTAAACCGCTAAATCAATAAGTGGTGTATCGTCGAATGAGCAATCGTGTATCGTTTGGTTTGATGGTTCCGTCTATGATTCAGGGCTACAGGAACTTGAGAGAGTAGGATTCCATCTTTACGCAGGAGCTACAGGTTTTCTGCCGCATTTTACTGCACGAAATTGAAACAGGAATGATGCTATAGCTAGCTCATCATTTGATGTAGAAAGGCGTTTGGTTTTTACCTCAATTTCGTCCACTCAGAGTAAGTAAAACGGGATCTGCTTAACTGATTCAGGGTTATGGCGGTCGTTCTTGATGCGAAGCTCCGACGTTGCGGAGATTCCAAATTAGGAATATCCGCAAAGGAGAAAGGAGTGGATGCGAAGGAACCACATCGCTTAATTCTCAAACCTCAACAGAACCACAAGTTCACAGTTGCCACAGGAAACTCACGTATATGAGAGCTACTAAATAAATAACCTGATTTATATGAAACTGATCCAGCAGATTCAACACCAATATGGATCTATTCCTATTATGTTCAAAAGAGTCACAGAGGGCTATAAAGAGTGCCATGGGATAGAAGAAGGACACGGCATCTCATGCGTTGTTATTCATTTCTTCACTCATTACTATTCCTTTAAAACGACCCTTCATTTTCTTGGCCATCTTCCAGATCTGGTATCACTCATTTTTCTTTGATTCCAACTTATCACTCATTATGCAACGCACTGTTTTCACTCTGCTGGCTGGTTCCGGTATTGTCTCGGCTTGGACTGAACTTAGCCATGCGCCGTTCATGAACAAGAATATCGATGCGATCGTTGTTCCTGACACTTATACTTCCCATATGCACACTTTTTTTTGGAAGTGACGCCATTACCAATGTCATGCCCACCTCCGCCGAGCTGCAGCAGGGCTGCTACAGCGGCGATAACCCGAACGACCTTTCAGTCTACTGTATGTGAACATCAACATGAAATCCTTGACATCCCTCGATGTCACTAATGCTTTGGAAAATAGGGATTCCCACTCTCTACTATGTTGATGGAGACACTTACACCGAAGTGCCAATTTTCCGCTTCTCGACATACTACGTTAACAGCTTCTCCGACTTCGCTATCCCGCAAGATTTCGCCATGATCTCCGGCAATGCGTCTGCCAAGACTCAAGCTGAGGCTGATAATCCTTACAATGATCTGGAATGGTTCTGCGAAGGCTCTGACGAGCGTGAGACTGATATTGCCAAGATGCCTACAAGCACCTGCGACCAGCACCTTCAGTCAAACCTGGTCTTTCCGAACTGCGTGAACCCTGACAACATTGCCGAGTACGACTTTTCGGACGAATCCAACAAGTGCCCTGATGGAATGAAGCAAATCCCCCAGCTCCGCTACCGTGTTCTCTATGACACAAAGTCTGTGGCCCCGAACGGCTGGAGCGGTACCGCTCCCTTCCTGCTCTCCTGCAGTGACACTCCTGGTGATGGATACTGCTTCCATGGCGATTTTATTAACGGCTGGTTTCAGGATGCGACGGAGAACATGCTCATCACTGGCGGGGGCGGCTACGATGACGGCCAGTTTGTCGCTGGTTCTCACGGGTCCTCAGCCGTGGAAGCCACCTGCACGCCCACTGACCAGGATCCCGAAAATGGCACTAATGACTACGAAATCAGTCTTGAGATGAAGGCAAATGGTGATGCTGTGGTTGACCCTGTCGACTCTGCCCCTAACGAGACTACTAGCATCATGGCTACCCCTACTACCAGTGTGGCCATGTCTGGGGCATCGGCTCCTGTGACGACCACGTCTTCGGTCGGCCAGTTCATGAGCAGCACTAACGGTAACCACCAGCCCCAGGGTGGACACAGACCGACTTCTACTCGTACCGTCGGAGGAAAGTTCAAGCGAGCGATTGCTCAGTAGGGCACCAACTAGGCATTGCAGGCTGTTAAAGCTCTTGACTCCAGACGCGATACACTGTGTGTCATACGTGATGAGGATATCTTTGCCACTTTCTTTATCTTTCTACCGGCATGTGTTATGCTGAGTGGCCCGCTGTTTGAATGTGTTCCGTATACTATTTTGATATTACTGCCATTCTTGTTGTCGTAAGACATTTTTATCTTGGCCATCTGATGAGATATTTCAACCTATCCTATGATATCAATCCATCAACCTTTGACGTCCAAAAACTTTTTCCACTTAAGTTCACCCGAGTACCCATTCATTTGGGATTATTACTAGCTCGTATCATCCTAGCTTACTCTGATACTTTGTTCAAGCTTAGCTGTAGAAAAGGTTGCTTAATATTGAAGCGAATGATGCAGATCTGCTATTGGGCCATCCCAATCAAAAATCATGTTACGACACGGAGACGTAAAGAGGACCCTTCCTACCCCTCTTCACTTAGCCATCTTAAGATTGATTAACTCTGATTACCTTTGGAGTCAACTCGCTTTGACTAGAGACTTCAGGAACGGTGTTACGTGGCATTGAAGAGAATTCCGAGGAAGTAAAAATTCATTGCCAAATGGTGTAATGACGCATACATTTCTTCGACTGGGGGACATGAAATCTTCTGTGGACGATGACAGTCAAGGATGGCCGGGTCCCCATTCGTTTCAGTCATTGTCAGTCATGAAATCATACGTGTGCATCCCGTAGAAAATCAGGCAAAGCCCCACCATTCCATGTCACTATCACCCTGAATGGGAACAGGATGGCCGACCCCCTCAGCCCAAACACCCTCCAGCTTGCTCCCAAGAACATACGTGGTGTAATCTTTGATCGGGGTATTCACAAGGACCTGATCCGGGGTAGTATCATACTTCAGGACTGAACTCCAAGCAGCAAGTGTCGTGTTGAAGGACGATGAGCCAATGATGGTGTCTTCGGAGCCCAAATATGTCTGGACCTTTGGATAGCTGCCAGTGTAACCCGGATACATCTTACTGATGTTGCCCGTGGAACCTGCCGAGTAGATAATTGCTCCCTTGAAGATGTCTGGGTATGCGCCTGCCATCGTGTTCTGTGACGACCATTAGCTTCGGTGCTACTGTGATACTGCTGTGATTTCTAAAGGGAGCCTACCGCCATGGACCCGCCAGAAGAGATCCCAGACACAAACACTTTGCTCGTATCGGCACTGTAGGTGCTAGTGGTGTACTTCACCATGTTGGCAATGGACTGGCTGGCACCGCCGCCGTCATGAAGAAGTGACTTGGAGGAAGTTGCATCCCATGCGCCCTGTGGGGACTCTGGATAGATGACGATGAAGCCGTATGTCTCCGACAAAGTCGCGTATGGGGTAGACGAGAATTGTTGCTGGGCATTGCCTGAAGCACCATGGAGGGAAACCACAATTCCAGGTGAAGGAACAACAGCATCCGGGACGTAGATGTACATCCTAATACTGGCTGGGTTTGGTCCGAAGTTAGATACTTGGCTCAATGCCGCACGCTTCACCACTGGGACTGCCGATGACAGGCAGATGAGCGAGACTGCAACTAGCAAAGTGAGGAATCGGAACATGATGGCGATGATGGAAGCATTGAGAGAATGGTGATGACTAAGAAGAAGATGAAATTGCAGAAATACCTTCCAGTTGACGATATAATATTTTTATATACCTTTGAAAATTCAGAATTGAGGTCAACCCCGCATAATGCAATGATTGGGGTAGAGCCTTTGCCTTTTCAAGAATATCCGACGGACTAGAATTCTTCACCGTCCGAATTTGATCCATATTGATTGGTGGAAAGTATCTTCTAGGTGCGCTCGGCTGATTTTTGCTCGAAGGAACAAGGGGCATAACTTAACGATTGCCGTGATTTTCCAACTGACAGTATCTCGTTGGATTGAGGGGAAGTTCGGGGGATAAGATCATAGGTAAGCAGCTCCCGGGGCCGACACGCGCCTAACGCCTAACGGTACCCACCACCACCTACCTTCATGGAATCTTCTCCCAGACACAACTAAATTCATCCAAGATATCGACGATGATGACGAGTGTTTGACCTTAGGGCGAGTTCTTTGTTACATACAAACGATGTTTGGTCTTTGATAATGTCTCAACAGTCAATGGCAACAAGATTGTTTGGTTCTCCAGGTAACTCCCAGGACCTCACGTTTCTTCCCATAAACCAGCCTTTCTCTCCTGGGAATAGCCGCGCACGGCGGGGGCATCAATCCTGTGACAATTGCCGCGAGAAGAAAAAAAGATGCCAGCGCTCGCCTACGGCGGTTACCTGTTTGCGCTGCCAGCAGGAGTCTCGAGATTGCCTGACCACTCATCGGAGGAAAAGGCGGAAGTTGCGACCGGCAGTACGCAACGCGACGCCAGACCCTTCTGGAAATGCCGACGTGGTCACCCCTAGCATGACACCGACTACAGACACGCTACCCCCAGCTAGGACCTCAGAGTACTCTCCCGTTGGAGATAACCATTCTTTCGTTGCAGACCTATGCGGATCCTCCCCAGAGGCGGTCTCAGCTCACCGTGGTGACTGGGGGTCGAGCACTAAAGAGCGGATCCTGTCGACAAATCTCCTAGATGCAAGGGATGCCCTTGACCTCATTGCAGTTGCTGGGTCTACTGAAGTGGCTGATGCAGCGGGTTCGCGCTCAGTTGATTCGCATCAGAGGCCTACCGGACCCTCACAGCGCTCTGCAACTGCCCATCCAGTCCGGGAAACATTAGCCGCTTCCTGGGACAGATTTTTCTTGGTTAAAAGAGGAATTATTCTGGCTCACGAAGCAGTGGAGTACCTGGACTTCTACTTTGCCCACCTTTGGCATCTCTTACCCATCATCCCGCTATGGTACTCGGTACCAGCCCGCTATGGCACTTTGGCTGATGAAGAGCCTGTGCTCACGATCAGTCTCGTGACAATAGCTTCCAGGTATCATGTCTTGAGCGGATTTAATGGCCAAGCCAGGTCGGAAAGGATCCATTGGAGGACTTGGCCGTGGGTGCAACGGCTCTTTCAGTCCTCCATGTGGGGATCACGCGCCATGCGCAGCCTCGGATCCATTACGGCCTTGTTGTTGTTCATTGAATGGCATCCCCGGGCAATCAACTCACCAGAAGATTTGATAAGTGATTGCGCGGACATGGAAATTTTTGAGCCACATTCTCAGTTGTCAGACGGGGAAGCAGCACTTCCTGGGACAGAGACTGCAGAGTCATACCGCAGACCTGACCCGTCGAGCATACCAGAAAAACTCAATCTGGTTGCAACTGCATATAGAAGCAACAAGATGTCTTGGTCGGGTTTTCTCTCTTTTCTGTTCTTTGCCATTACTCACAGTTACTAGGATGCTCTTGTCTACGGCCATCGCTTTAGCGAAAGAGATAGGGTGTTTGGGCGATGATGAGGTGTTAACTCAGACCACTTCAAGGGGGGAACGCGAGAGTATATCCGTCAGAAAAGAGTGGAGTTTTCTCTTACGTACCTTTATCCGTCTCACTGATGAGGCACTTGCGCTACGCCTCCGAATAGAGCCTCATTTGGCAAGCAGTGGCTCGGTGGAGATCGATCGACATGCGTCAAATATAACACTTGACGGGTTTTTCGAAAGTATGGTCGACCTCGCTCCTCATATGCATAAAGCCAGGGAGCTTCTTCATAACTGGAGGCGAAGTCAACAAGGCACAGGGCCAGTGGTTCCAGTTGCCGCATGGGAAAGCTTCAAGCGAGGTCTCGATTCCTGGGAAAGGAACCGCCGTCTTGGCCAAACAGGTAAGTTCAACACATAGAAATCGCCACATAGACCTTTATACAAATGTGTTAATGACTAGATCTTTCTCTTCGTGGAGCCTGTCTTGACATTGAATACTTCTATATCCGTCTATGCGGGCTGAGTCCTGCCGCGCATTTGTTCGAGAGCTCATCCACAATATATGCGACAAACTCCTATATAATGTCATTAGCCCCTTTTGCTGAGGAGGCAACGAAAGCGTCAGTCAACATGCTTGAAGTCGTTGTACAAATATTTTCATCATCGGAACCTTTCCAATACGCCACGGTTCAATGCTGGCTTTATGTTTTCTGTGCCTCATTATATCTTCTTAAGGTAAGCCGTAAGATTTGACTTAACGCCATAATGCTAATATTGTTCTAGATCACCTTCAAGATGGAGCAGGTAGACAGCCATTCCATGGGCCTCATTGTAAAGGTCATCGATGGAATCAAGGAAAACGCTCCTGATGACATCCACATGTCCCGGCGGTACGCCGCCCTGCTGGAAATTCTTGTCAATGCGGCCTTGCGGACGTCAGAATCAGGGAGCAAGGGGATGGATGTCAGCAGTCAGACAAGTCTGGACCCGGACAAATTTCCGCCGTTGGCCCATTATGAATTAGGTCTTGGGGAGGATTGGATATACGACCCCAATTTCTGGGAAACATTGCCCGATGTGGTGGGATTGAACGTCGTGCCTAGCCTTATGCCTGGGTAGATGCAAAATACGAATCTCATCTTGAGTGAAGTCGAGCTTTGAAGATTTCTGTCTGAAAATGGCTCTTTAAATTCATTTTTTTTGTCAGTCGGGCAGAAGTCCTTTTGTTATCTCCTCGTTTGCCTTCTATACTGCAGTCATGTTCATGGCGCTTTTTCACACATGCTAGATTGTAGATCAGATCGGAGAGTGCGATTAGTGTGGCTGTACATAGCCGGCGAACGTAGAAATGTGACATCAAGGTCGGTCAGCAGTTACCGCAAGGTTCTTGTCTATGCTCAACGGTCGAGATGTGAGATATCAGACAGCGAGGTACGTAGTTGACTGGGAAGAGTCGGCACTGCAAGTTGATGGGCTCAGAGTCTAGTACGGTCACCTGATCAACTTGGATAAAGTACAATCGCGTCTATTGTGATGATGTGTTCAGGTATATCGAAACCCCCGCAATCATGGAATTGTAATGTAGTATTTGAGTTCAGAGGCAGCAGCATTTTGAAGATTAAAATAAGATTGGACCGGGTTACCGGACCGCAATAGTATAGAAGTGAGGGCTTTCCTCCTCAATAGCTAGGGCATGGTATTTCTGCCGAGTGGAACACCGCTGCGAGATTATAAATACACCATTACTGTCTGGGCTGCTCGTCCAAAGCTCCTCTTAGCACTAGGAAGAAGTGTTTGAAGAATTGTTTGGGGGTGATAGCTCGAACACCTTTCCAGGATTCATAAGGGAGCTAGAGATCATTAGCTATTGAAGTCCAGGCGAGGTGGGTCTTACTTTGGATCCAACTGCGTTTAAGAGTTCGCATCACGGCAATTGTCTCCGATCCAAGTTCTTCCATTAGACATAGCTTTTTTCCCAGGCCGATACCATGTTCACCCTAAATGAAAACCGTGAGCTAAAAAAGCATTAAGAGTGTTCAGGTGAAACCAACTGAGACTGTTCCCTCCATTTCGACGGCCCTATGAACCATATTGCTGACACAGCCCTGTACAGCTTTAACCTGCGCAGCGCTGTTCGGGTCATACATGATAGCTTGATGAAAATTTCCATCGCCAACATGGCCTAGAACACTGGAAAACAATCCTAAACCTTGTGCCTCTCTTTTAGAGAGATCTGGGCGCAAATGTCAACCGAAAGAACACGAGACAAATCGTTACGCAAAATGCCACTTACCGATGATTTCTGGCAATCTTGACAACGGCACCGCAACATCTGTGGACCATATTTGGGTTCCCTCGGGCTTTTGTGCTAACATTGCCCACAGAGCTTCCTTGCGAGCAGCCCAGAGATTATGCATCTCCGTTGTTGTCCTCGCGAATTCAAACGCGCTGCCTCCTTGTTTGGTGACCAACTTTTCGACACGCTCGATGTCAGCTGCGATAGCCTCGGTGCTTCCAGAGAACCTAGTAATCTCTGGTGAGTGAAGCTCAGGAACAGATGAATATTCCATTGAATCTGCTTACTTGAAAAGTAATGTAGGTTTCTCCTGCCATGTCCTCCCACCTGAGCCTCCATTCCGATTTAGCACAGCCATTTGTATCTCGTCCATAAGTTCCACAGATGCAACAAGGATCCCTCGACGTATAACTTTCGAGACACATGACACTGCATCTTTCACAGACGGGAATGTAGCCACAGCGACACTTTCGTTCTCAGGAATTGGTGCCAGTTTGAGTGTAATTTCCGTGATCATTCCAAGAGTACCTTCCGAGCCAGTAAATAAGCCGGTAAGGTTGTAGCCCGCTGATGTTTTTCTGCTGCTCCGTTAGAGGACCTTCACAATAAGTAAGGCCCAGGGAGAGTATCATTACCTTGGCCGGTGACGAGTTTTGATAACGGAGCCATCTGCCAACACGACTGTAAGGTTAATGACCCAGTCCTTCATTGTCCCGTAACGAACCGCATTTGTTCCACTGTAAAGACGCATGAATTCGATCCAGGAGACAGGTAATCGAGTAGGGGAAAATACCTGCAGTTCGTAGCGACCATGCCTCCAATAAGAGCCTGAAAATTAGATCAGTACTATACGCAAGATATGGCAATTGAATAGCCTACGGTCGGACTAGGATCCATGGGCAGGAAAAGGCCACTGTCCTTGATCTTATCGTTCAGATCAACCCAATTAACTCCTGGCTGCACGACCACGTCCATGCTAAAATGTCTTAGCCAAAAGTGCCATCAAAAATCAATCACATCATAGATGTACTCTTCTTCATGAAATTTGATGATTTGATTCATCGCAGAGAAGTCGATACTCAATCCAGAGTATGGAGCTGTGAAATGCCCCTCGACACTTGACCCACCGGCAAAAGGAACTAAGACTGTCAAAGGTTGCCTTTAGATTAAATTGGTGGCAATATACTCATAGGAATCTTGTACTCGGAACATATGCGCGCAATAATTGATACCTCTTCCGTGTTCTTTGGTGAAACAACCGCTACTGGTTTGGTAGCGCATTGTGCTGTCGAAGCTTCCGAGTTGGAATGCCAATCAATATCATCCTCGTTCATTGTTATCGATTCTGGCCCGAGGACATCGACAATTGCTTTCACACCCTGGCATTCCTTAGCATTGGCCGCGACGATTTTTGGTGAGCACCTTGAGCTTACCTTAAGCATAGTCTCTCGATCGGCGTACTTTGTCTGTTGTTTTTCACTGTGGTCAGACGCCCATGGTGCATATAGCCAAGATGTTAACCCAAAACTTGTCACACCAGCTGCGAGAATGGCAGATGGCCACGAGCTGGGTAGACCTCGAGGTACTCTAGGGGTACTGTGACCATGGAATTTGCGGACAAATTGACGAGTTCTATGATACTGAATAGGGCTTTGGGCGAGCCGTCTCACAGCTTGATGGACCTGCATTGTCAGCTTCATTTTGGATCGCAGTTTCTGTTTTTCCACAGGCTTAATATCGAAACACGCCTTTATGCTAGATCAATTCCAAAGGAGCAAAAATTCTTCGAAATGCATGTCCGAAACCTCTGCCCCAGAAAGCGTGGTCAGTCTACCCTTTAACGGGGCGGAGAAACCCAAAATGTAATATCCGCCAAATCCGCTGCAGATGAGGATTTCTATCCACACCTCATACTTTCAAACCCCCACATGCCCTTGGCATTGCCTTGCAAGGGGCAAGGCATAAACGAGGCACCATCTGCTATAAAGCTTTGCGAATGCGACTGCATTGATGGCCAGTTCGCTAAACATCCACCATGTCGCCACCGCCCGCGTTTGCTGAGCATACTGAAGTTGTTGATCCGTCCGTCAAGGAGAGGGAGGCAGATGACTCCGTCGAAATTTCTGAACCCCCTATCCTTGACGAGGAGATGAACAGAAAGCTGCTTCGCAAGATAGATATGCTCTTAATGCCTGTTGTGAGTCACCATGAGATCACATCATATCAATCCGCAAGCTGAACTTCTTCTAGATGTGTTTTACCTACGCTCTCCAATACTACGACAAGGCACTTCTTAGCCAGGCTGCTATTTTTGGGCTAAGAAAGGACCTTGGCCTCGAGAATGGGCTGAAGTATTCGTGGGTTTCGTTGATCTTCTACTTCGGGTATATTGCTGGTTGCTACCCTGTAGGTCGACTTACAGGCCTAACTCTGCCCAAACTCTGACATTCCTAGATTTCCTGGCTATCCCAGAAATTCACGGTTGGCAAGGTCTGCCCTATAATCTGCTTCCTTTGGGCTGTGGTAGTCTTGTGCACTCCGGCATGCAATAGCTATACCGGTATACTTATTAACCGCTTCATGCTGGGTCTGATAGAGAGTGGAGTTTCGCCAGCATTCATGCTCTGCACTGGCATGTGGTATACCCACTCAGAACAGGTCTTCCGATCCTCGTTGTGGTACTCCTTTAGCGGCGGATCAAACATCATATCTCCTCTCATCAACTACGGTCTCGGTCATGTCACCGGTGGAGCTCTCCATCCATGGCAATACATGTATCTAATTGCCGGGCTCGCAACACTAATGTGGTCCATCGTCCTGTGGGTTGTGTTCCCCGGTAGCCCTCAAGTGGCAAAGGGTTTCACTGCCGAGGAACGGGCTCTCATCCTGGAGCGAGTGCGCATTAACAATGCAGGTGCCGAGAACCGTCATTTCAAATGGTACCAAGTCAAGGAGGCTCTCCTGTCTTACCATTTTTGGTTTGTATTCGTTCTCTCCCTTCTGTCAAGCATTGGCAGCGGAGCAGTCACTACGTTTGGCTCGATTATCTTCCAGGGAATGGGATTTACGACTTTCCAATCCCTGCTGCTGAATATGCCTGTTGGCGCCCTTGCCTTTATCTGTGTCCTTGGGTCTGGGTATATTGGATTGAAGGTCCCCAATTCACGGCTCTACGTTGTGAGTGGCGCATGCGTGCCAGTTATTGTTGGGAGCTGTCTGATGTATGTTTTCGCCCCGAAGAACCATCAGACGTCTTTCAATTACTAACTTAATACCGACTCCTAGATGGCAGCTTCCCTCTTCCCAGCGTCCCGCTCGCATTATAGGATTCTATCTCATCAACTTCTTCGCCTCGGCCTGGGTCCAATGTATTGCCATGGGGACATCAAATGTGGCCGGGCACACAAAAAAGGCCACCATGGCCGCCGGGACGTTCATGGGCTACTCACTGGGCAATATCATCGGGCCACTCACCTTTAACGCGTAAGTTTATGCTATTCCCTTTGCCTATGCGCTAAAGGTGGTACGGAGAGTCTAACGTTTGAAAATTTTCCCAGTAATGATGCCCCACGTTACGACCACGGCTTCCAAGCCACGGTCATCTGCTTCTCCATCTGTTTTGTTTTGGCGCAGGTATTCAGGGCCCTGATGTACGCTCAGAACAAGAAAAGAGACAGCAAGTACGGGCCATCGACACAGGAACACGCTCTGGAGGACTTGACTGACGGAGAAAATAAATCATTTCGGTACCCCTTGTAGAATAGCTAGGATCGTGGTCTTGGCAAAAGCAAGACATTTCCACAACTCTCAGGTCCTCTAAGAATATCTTGGACGAGACCGATTCCGCTATTTTTTCGGGCGGCACTGAGTCTTTTATTTCACACCCTCTCCTCGAAATTGTTGTAAACTGCATGCTAGCCCAGCACAATTGAATCAACCCTGCCTCGACTTTTCACATATTGACAAAAATAATCTTCGTGGACAACACTCGTATAGGAGGATGTGCAGTGATTTAGACTACGTTTTTGTCCTTACGATGCAAATGAAGCTCCATCGACTAGAGCATGTAGAGTCCATGCTCGCTCAAACGCTTCATTGGAACCATAGAAAAGATCTGCGTCTTCGCCGTCTGGCTTATCCTCTAGCCAGAACCGTTTGACCGTTTCCAAAAGTAAAGACACTACTCTCTGTCCCAGCCCTTTCCGACGTAGTCCCATTGCTGGTTTTCGATTAGGAAAACAGGGCCATGATCCAGCTCTTTTCCCCATATATCAGTTCCTCTTTGAACTGGGTGGTCTTTGTACTTGGTCCTGACTGTTCCGTATCGATATGTTCACTCCTTCTTTCACAACCCCATCGAGTTCAGGAACGTGTTGGGCAGTCCCGGTAACTCTACTGCTCCTGCAACCTCAAGCCGTTCCTAGAGGTCAACAGTGGATCTCTGGATGATTGAAGTACTCCTGGGATCGCCTAGAGTGTACCTGAGATTGATGTTAATGATAGACTATATGGAGTGCATGAGCTTACCCAGCGCTAGCTCTACCGGCTCCAAGAACGTGTAAGTCGTCTCTAGGAGCTTTTTGCTCTTGGAACATCAAGTACAGTTCCCAGGCACAGCCACATACACTCGGGGACTGAGTGGTTGTGTGATTGGTATTGATTGATGAGGGTTTCTAATACACATTCCGGGGGTTGGCGGTTTGCGTATCTCCTTTTCTTGCGGTCCCCTGAGCCCTATTTTCACACGCACAACCGATACGAGATACAGACAGTCAGAATATGCTGCGTATTCAGAGTGATGCTGATTTGAGTCACTCGGACTATCTTCGGTGATCAGTGGGGCTCAGTGGAGATTCGGGACTACTAAACTGAAATGGACTGATATGCCCTCAAGAAGATGAGGACTTGATACTGAACAACGCGATTGTGAGGTCTAGTAGGTCAGCCTATCCAATAGGGACTGCTCTGGTGGAAGAATACATCGCTGCTAATGCAGGCCCACATGAACACTACTCATTCGGAGCACAACCAGTTCGGCGACGCTGAGCATTGAAGTCGGGTTTATCGAAAGATGAGGCATACAATCGCTGTAGCTAGGATACTTGCCTGGGCTTTAATTAAGTATTAGAAAACGGTATTTGGTGGTGGAGCGATATAGTTAATGGATCGGGGAAAACTTTTGAGGCATAGATGAGAAGCTAGCTAGCTCAAATTTTTGAAGTTGATGGATCTTGGGAAAGACGAAGAGATGGGCTGATCTACCAGACAAGACATATCCCTGTTCAGAACACGATGCTTACGTGCTGGTAGTCCCACAGTGCCAATAAAGTGCGGTCTAAAGAGTGGGTCAGGGGTATCTATACAAGCTTCACTGATAGTCTTTTTTGATGTGTGTGGTTGATCATCGCCTCGACATCGTTATATTTCCGTGGGGATCCTTGAATCTTCAGGTGCCCTTTGCCATCAACGTGCTCAAAACTGCTGATATTATCAGAGACCAGTAGGGCCAAGCAAGGCTTGCCCCTATAAATTCCCATAGATGTCGCACCTCCCGAAACGTTCCAACTAATGATCATTACATACAGGTTGTGTCAGCGAAGGAAGTTCAGTTTACCTCATGCATAGATCTAGACTGCTGCACGATCCGCAATATCTACACACATTTATAATCTATATCTGTAAATTATAAATTTAAATATTATTTTATATCTAAATCTGCAATTTGTGGATATAGATTATGAATATCTTTAAATATTGCGGATCGTGCCGTAGTCTACCAGTAGATTCCACCCGAAGGGAAGTCTAATTTTAGACACTTGATTAAATACTAAGTGCCCAGAGCCAGTGTACACATGAGATCATGTATTCTGTACCAAATTCGCAAATCACTGTCTAGTCCTTCTTGTACAAGTTTTGATGCCTTGGGTTCCAACTCGTTCGAAGCATACAAAGCATCAATCACTGCTATCTCCACTCACATAGCCTCATTTTAACAACACCAACATCAACTGCCCGGATGGTCTAGTGGTATGATTCGCGCTTAGGGAGAAACCCAAGCATTGACTGCGCGAGGTCCCCGGTTCGATCCCGGGTTCGGGCCTAAATTTTTCATTTTCATTTTTTGTTTTTCGATTAGAGTGTTCCAGTGTGGGTCCGCGGAAATGAGTGGTCTCTAGAGTTTCGTCTCCAGAGAGGGCGTTCGTCTCGAGCATCCTATCCACAATTACAGAGACTCCAGTCTCTGCCGACTTCAAGGTCGAGCGCGGACTTTCCATAGCACACCAAGATCTGGACAGTTGTTTTTGCCACAATATCGACAGTTCTTCTACCTCATCCTTAAGGAGAGCCACTACTACGTTTGACAAACAGCTGTAACCAGAGACTAGCCAGAAAATTGTCCATGATCTGAATATCCTGACTTTTGGAACCCCCCACGACGCAATGTCGGCATGCATGCCCCACACTTGTGATTTACATTGAACATTCTCCGGAGACGGTCCCCAATGGTCAATCTGTTCATGCACCCCATTAGTGCCTCTCACATGTAGCCATTGCTAAGAAGGGCTACTACGCTTGTATACTCTTACCGGTGCCGGCTGAGATGAGCTTAGCGAGATCCAAGACAGAAGGCATTGAGGCTATATCATACAAAGTCCAGTATATAGGAGCATTCCCTTTGCGCTTGAAACCCATTACTTGAACACCAAGTTGTCCAGTAGACTTTTACCAGCCCCCAGTGACCTTCTGAGTATATCCTGCGGTGAAAACCAATCCTCAACCTCATCAACCACAGCCTGTTGGAGACCCAGCTCAAGCTATTCATCGTATCAATGAGCTCGAAATGGTAATTTTCTGGAATGGCTACTCTCTTTATATAGAACCTCCGATCTTGCAGAGACCATCCTATTTATTATCCATGGGGATTCGCAGAATAGCTAATTATCCGCGAGGGATGGCTGAAATACTGCGTTCCCTCTCTCTGTGTATACCTTCCGAAAACCTTTAGCACACACACTCATACATATGCATATTCAGTATTCACTTTATTTATAGACCATGTTTTAAGCACAACAAGGATATATATATATATATATGAGTTGGATGCAGTGGAAGCTCCATATAATCTGAAGCAAAGCCTTTGTATGCACTTCAGCTCACTGAAGCTAACACCTGCGATAAAATCGGGTTAACTGGGCTGATCCCGGCCCCTGCTGCAAGTATCCAATATCCCACATTATGCCGGTGGAAGCCCCATCAGGAGACAATAAAGGGGGCACCGGTGATCCACCGCAGCATCAAGTCAAACGCCACATCCGGGCGATCTTGAGGAACCTAGTAGAGATCAGACGTCTGCACCTTCACATATCTTTACTAGAGAAATCTCACCAAATGACCCGCCCCGTCCACTGTCACCAACGCGAACCGTCCTGTCTCTCCGTGGCTGTCTACTCGCGCTCGGACTTCTTTGGCTGTCCCAACTGTTTCATTCCGGCCAATCGCCGTCGACATCCAGGGACGTAGCGGCTTTGATTCGAACGCGACCTGGCCCTTCCAGCGAAGCGCATTGGCCCAGCGCAGCGTTCCGGCTGTATTGCAAGCGAGGTCCAGATTCCCCTGGTACGCAAGGAAGTGGACCCCATGAGAAAGTAGGAACACGACAAGATCGGAGACGGACGTCATGCCCTCGGGCGTAGTGTCAAAGGCCTGGATCACATTGTCTGAGACGAACTTGTATTCTGTGATCTGCTTGGGGGGCGAGAGGGCGGCCCAGACGGCAGGGGAGTTTAGGTATTGCTGGATATGAGCCGCTTGAACGTAGCAAATGTCGTCGATCTCACAAGGGGTGGTTACTGCTCATAGACTTATTTTAGGTGCTCCGAAGCTGGGGTGTTCGGGGAATTAATTGGCTTACTGTCGAATCGGTTGCGGCCGCCCTCGCCCACCTCGTCCTCGTACCATCGAGCACCCCCTCGTAGCAGACGGAGTACGCCGCCTGGCAGAGAGCAGGATCCGGGTGTCGGACGCAGGTATCGGCGACCTGCATGCACCGCGGCATGTTGGCGGCCATGTGGTCACACCGGGTCTCGTTGAAAACGGGCACGGAAACGCCGGGATTGGTGGTGCACAGCGTTTCCCAGTAGCCGTACATGGAGTCCATGGGAGACATGAAGCCGTTGCCCACCAGGCACGACTGCAGGTGGACCTGGGGCTCTGTGGGATAGCGCTGGTTCTGCTTCAGGATCTGGGCCCCAAGATAGGGGATGTACTTGCCCTGGAGACAGACATTAGTTTCTTGCGCGTCGCGAAGGGGTCGTCAAATCTTACGGCATACGATTCTCCCGAAAGATGGACGGGGGAGGAACGTTTATGGGGGAAGACCTCAGAGACGAAGAGCTGGAGAAACCGGTGCATGTCAACGGCGGCCTCCTGGGAGTCCCGCGGGAGGGCATGACCCTCATCGATGTAGGAGAAGCCGACATCAACGGGTTGGTCCACAAAAAGTAACGAGGAGTTCCGAGACCAGCTCCACGGATTGGGAACGGTTCCGTTGCCATGCTCGTTAATTAAACAAGGGCCAACCTCCTGGAACAGGCCGACCATGCTGGAATAACCGGGTCCACCGGTCATCCATAGGGTTAGCGGGTCATTGGCCGGATCGTTCTGGCTTTCAAAGTACCAGAAGAACAGGTGTTTGGCTCCGACATCTAGCCATCCCGTGTATTGAGCTGAGCCCGCATCGCAGATTGACTCATTCTGCTGTCGCATACGGACCGAGTGGGAGGATGAATATGGGCTCTGGAAGATGTCAAGGTCGCCGACCGCGAACGTCTCTGGTCGCAGCACCGTCTGCGCAGCGTAACCCACGGCAAACAGCGTGGCATACAAGAAATGCCGCATTGTAGAGGATGATTTTACCTTGAAAATACGAACGACGGTGGTGATGTGAGGAGGAAGGCACAGCAGGGAAGATGGAGGTAGTCGACGTCCGCGGGCTAACCCTGGACTACGACCAGTTCACTGTTACATCGCATATACCCGCCATAACGTCGCCCTCACCGCTTGCATCCACACGACGAAAGTTTAACTAAATCACCAAATGCGCTTAAAAGCTCAAAAGAATCAATTGACAAGGAGGGCTGAGTTCTACTTGCAATCTGTGGTATTAAAAGGAAGGAATATTCTAGATTCGTGAAGCTGCAGGTGTCTCCAATGTTCTATATATAATTCAGCTAACCCTAGGACCCAGTGGCAAGAACAGTCACTTAACACCTCAGTTCGACAAGATATACAGTGAAATAATATTGTTTCTATATATGCCTGCCTATTCATCATATCGCTGGTAAGCTCTTGATGTTGGTTGCTTTGAATACTAAAAGATATGTACGGAGACGTAGTAGCCGTTAAAGTAAAACGTGGCTTTTATTATATATATGCATAACGTCTTAAGGGCTTTTGCCTGAAGCTTAAAATAGCCTCACAGTAGCCGGTATAGCTCTATTTAACTTGGAAAGGGTGCTTAAAAGGCTTTATATTCGACTAAAGACTCCTACACCACTGTCTACGAGACAGTTGGCCAAGTAGCCGACTAACGAATTCAGTTCTTATTATACCTCATGCTATAAAGCAGCTTAAAATTTAAAAAGTAGGAAACGACAGTCAATCTCACTCACGGCTCATGAATAGAGTTCTAGCCCTCCTAGGGACTCTGATTTTACTCTGTTGGTAAAAGGAGTTGAATTAGTCCTTCATGGTATAGCTCAAGGCTTTTCGCTCTACACATGAAGATCAAACCAGAAGCAAAAAAACGCTCTACTGGGCAACGAGCTATTATCAAGGCTTCCGACCACCTTACGACCTTAGGAATAGTGGGGATTTGAACAGGTAACAAATATATACGCCGAAACTTGAAAGCATTTTGAACCCAACCAGCCCTAATAAAACAATCTTCCCAACGCCTCATTAGACCGCATCCGCCAACTCGAAGCAAACTCCCTCCAGTAACGCCACCTTCACGGCCTCCACATACCCAAGTCCCCCAATCAACCTCACGGTGAGCGTTCCATCATCGCTCGGGATGGCAAAAATCTCCAAAAAGTCCGCTGCAACGGGAACATGCCACATCTCCTTGTGTGCTAGCCTGCCCACCGCACCAGGTACACTGAGCACAGGCGCCTCGTCCACGTTCTGGTACTGGATCCAGCAGCCAAAGTCCCTTGTGTCAGCCGGCCAGCCAGTGCAGTGCTTGACGATATCGGTCAGACCCATCGTCTCATGCGCAAGACCCTCCGCCTGCTGCTTTTGGAGCGTCGCCAGTCGCTCCATCTTCGTCTGACCTGGCGCGAATTGCACGCGCACCGGGAGACGGTTGAGGCACGGCCCAATGACATTCTGGAGCTCGGCTGGGACATTAGCTCGACCGGAGACTACGCGGCCGAGGATAACGTCGCTGCGGCCGGTGAGGCGGCTGAGCGCAGAGGCACAGGCTAGAGTGAAGAATGAAGCCTGGGTGATGCCGAAGGGTGGGGTTGGCATCTGGATGGAGCGCTCCAGCACAGTAGGAGGACCATCTTTTGTGGAGTCTGTTGATGTGTATGGTATCCTGGTCATTGAAGAATTTTGGAGCATCTTGCGCCAGTATGCGTAGCTGTCTTCCTTCAGCGATTGAATGTGGTGAATGTAGTGGCTGAAAGACTGCCTTTCATGAGTCGAGCCGTTGTAGGCTTCAGCCAACATCTGCAGGGTCTGGCTGAAGCTTATCGCATCGTAGATGGCATGCGACTTGCTGAAGACGAGTCTTGCCGTCCCGTTTTGCCCGCAAATGAGCGTGAACCGTATTAAAGGCGCGCCCAGCGGAGCGGGCGATGTAACCTCTTCTTCTACCAGCTTCTCAAATGCAGCTTCAATATCGACATCGTCGACGATGTCGATGATGGGCGCCCAGGAATCAAAGACAGCTTGTAAGAAGGAACCCCCAGAGCGAACAAAAGCTGTCCGGTAGATATCGCAATGCGCCACTACTTGCTCACAGCTCTGGACGAGATGGTGCTTATCGGGGATCCAGGAGAAGTCAATGTAGCTGTAGAACCAGGATCGGCGGGGCTCATGGAGGTTATCCCTGAGATAGGTCGACTGCATGTCTGTTGCGGGCAGAACATCAATCAACTTGCCGTGACCAGATTGAACGTGTGGCATCACTTGGTCTTGGACAAAAGCGCTTGGGTCTGCCACGTCTAGCAAGGCGAAGCGTGACTTTTCAGTTACATTGCCCAGCCCAGTTTCCTGGTCCGTCTGGAGAAGGTCAGCGATGCGCGCCTTCGTCAGGATATTCGCGACGGTGAGGGAGATCGCCTGCTCACGCGCGAGCGAGGCCAGTCTCATGGCGCTGATCGAGTCGCCTCCAAGCTGGATAAAGTTGCTGTCCATTCCGAACGACTCCCCATCCCAGGAAAGCACCCGTGCAACAAGCGTATGGAGCTTCCTCTCCGCCACTGTCTCTGGCGCACGTCGCTCAATGCTGTCGACCTGCAGAAGATCCTCCTTGTGCATGGATGACGCCGCCTTGCGCAGCTTGCCACGGTCGACCTTGCCGGACGTCGTGTTTGGGATGCTGTCTACAAGCAGGTAGGCATTTGGAATCATATAGCTTGGTATTGTGGCCGATAGGCGAGCCTTGGTGGAAGCAGCCAGGTGCTGGGTATATGCACGCGCTTCCTGCGTACCAGGAATGATTCCCTTGTCCGACGACTCGATGAAGGCGACAAGAGCCAATTCAGCGGAGTCAGCGAGCTTGACGATGTCTACCACGACCTGGGATACTGTCGTCTCCATGATTGCATCAAAGACATGGTGCCCAATCTCTTCCAGCTCCACACGCTGTCCGCGGATCTTGATCTGGGCATCCTTCCGTCCGATAAACTCGAGGTTGCCGTCTTCTTCGTAGCGCACCAAGTCTCCAGTCCGATACAGCCGCCCCTGTCGACCAGCGAAGCCGGGACCGCCCTGACTGAGCCATTTCGGATCCTCGACGAATGATGCCGCTGTTTTCTCTGGCTCGTTCAGATACCCCTGGCCGACCAGAGGCCCTTCCAGCCACAGCTCGCCAATGTCACCGATGGCGGCGAGTGAGTGACCGTGCTCTGGTTCGACGATCCATGTTCGGACTCCAAGGCCTTTGCCAATAATCACCCGGCTACGTGCGGGATCGAGAATATGCGAAATAGAGATGGGTGTGCATTCAGACGGGCCATAGGAGTGGATGATTTGCGCCCGGTCCTTCCAATACTGAATTTCGTCGCGCGGAAGGTTCTCCCCTCCGTAGTTGATGACTTGCAGATCGGCTCCATGCAGCAGTTTGCCCACTGTCGGGGTGATGAATGCCGTGTTTGCCCGTCTGCGAGCAATGGCCTCTTTGGGCTCGTTTTGGATCTCATGCTGGGATGGGACGCAGAGACATCCACCGGCGCAAAGAGTATACAGCACATTGAGCCAGGAGACGTCAAAGGCGTACGACACGAAGTCGTATGCACGGGTATGTGGGCCAAACTTCAGTGCCGTTTGACCGTGCTTGAGCGCGCTGGTAAAATTCGAGTGGCTGATGATGGCGCCTTTGGGAATGCCCGTTGAGCCGGACGTGAAGACCACATAGAGCCACGTATCCGGGTCCACCGCTGGCAGCTGCGCATCTTGCGGTCGGATGAACGCCGGCTCCTGAGCGTCACTCACGACGATGATCCGAGCAGTCGACGGAACTAAACTTCGTGCTCGAGATTCCTGTGCTGTCGAAGTGAGGATGATTTGCGGTTTGGCTAAATCTATTACCGTCTGTACACGGCCGTCTGGAAGCGTTGTGTCGAGCGCAACAGAGGTCGCATTGGCTTTCATGACAGCGATTTGGCATACCGATGTCCATTTTGACTTTTCAAACATTAAAGGGACGATGCGTTGGCCGCTCTGCGGGAGGCCCGCGCGGAGAAGTTCATGGGCAATGCGCGTGGACAACTCCTCCACCTGCCCATATGTGAAGTTGCCATCCCATGAGCAAACTGCGGGAGCGTCGGGCTGCCTTGTAGCGACTTGGCTGAATATCTCGTGGACTGTTTCACCGCATCTGTCCAGGGTCGTATCGTTCCAGCGCCAGATCTGGTCTAGATCCCCCAGGCTGCTGGTATCGAGCAGAGAGAGTGGCTGAGCCTGGACCCGAGGCAAAGAAAGCTGCAGGAAGATATTTTGGAATCTGTCAGCAAGCCGGCGGAACTGTGTTGGAGACACGACCGTAGAGTCGTAGTCGGCGCGTAAACTAATGCTATTCGGCTTGAGGACGAACTCCAGGCAGATGGCATAGAGTTTGAATGGGTCAACATCATCTGCTGCTGTTGCCACTGGGGCTGATTCGAACAGAGCACCTTTAGCGTCGTGCTCGACTCTAGACTGAATGACCATGAGCGATTGGAATTGGCAGCCAAGGTTACAGTCCTCACTGAAGCGCCGGATCTGCTGAAGGCCAACTTGTTCGAATGGCATCATCTCTGCGGCTTGTAATTGCACTTGCTGCAGCAAGTTTCTGACTGCCTTTGAACGATCAATCGCCACGCGCAGTGGCACGGTGGCCATGGTCGGTCCGGTCATGCGCTCAATGCCCGGTACATTGGCTTGCCTGCCGGACACGATGGCACCGAACGAGGCATCTGCAGAGTTGGTGATGGTTGACAGGAGGATGGACCAAGCCAATCGAATCCTTGTCGATGCCGTGTATTCGCCATTCGAAGCCACGTCGTCGATGTCAAGCTCCAAGCGCTCATCACATTTTGGCCTATAGGCCGGGGAAGGCAGAACAGGAAACTTTTGGGCGTTAAAATCGCAGAACTGATCTTTCCAGAACTCCTCCGCCTGGATTTGGCTGCTGTTCTTGACATACTCGATAAACGCTTGGAAAGGAGGAGCGACAGGAATCGTCTCGGATCGGTAGCTCTTGTGCAGAGCGTCGAAAATGAGCGGCATCGACCATCCATCGTAGAGGGCGTGATGAATCCTCCATGAGAAGCAAGACTCGGATATATCGTACAAGACCAACGGCGTGCCAAGGCCAAAGTCCTGCGCCGACGTACCGTGCTGCGTCTCATAGCCTTCATCGTCGCGGACAATGACCTGGAAGAGGCCTTGCTGACCGAGATCGACAATTCTCGTCCGTAGAATCGGGTTGGCGTGGACAACCCTCTGCCATGCAGCGCGCATGCGGGCAGCGTCGACACTCTTTTTCAACCGCCACTTCTCTCTTAAGACATTATCACCTGGCCGTCGGACCGTCTCTGCCAGTAGTCCGGCCTGCAGAGGGGTGCAAGGGAACACGTCTTCCACCTGGGCTGCCTCAATCCCACACAGGGATGCCGCCTGCGCCTGAACCTCCTCTGGCACGGCATCACCACCCAGCAAGGAGAACGGTTTCATGGACGACTGCTTATGCGTGGGCTGTAGCAGCACCTTCGACCGGCCGTCCAGCTCCCGCGCGAGGTCCGCCAGCCGCGGCCACCGAAAGACATCTGCCACCGACAGACTCATGCCGCGTTCGCGTGCTTCACCGACGAGCCGCATTGCGAGAATCGAGTCGCCCCCCACCCGGAGGAAGTGGTCGTGTGGTGAGAGGTGGTTCGCGTTCACTTCCAAGACGACAGCCCATGTCTCCAGCAATAGGGCCTCCGTCGGTGACAAGGAATCCCGGCAGCTCGAAATGCGGTCGCTACCCCTGCGCGGCTGCAACTCAGAGAGCTGCTCGAGGGTCAGGGCAGCCCCCATCTCCCGGAGCCGCCGGCGATCGGTTTTGCCTGTCGGACCAACTGGCATACTGTCGACGGGGATATATGCTGTGGGGATCATGTAGGCCGGCAACTTGTCTGTCAACTTGTCGTCCAGTCCGGCTGTGAGTTTCAGTGCCGTGGACTTGTCTCCTTCGGTGATGCAGACAAAGGCAACTAGCATAGGGTGCGTGCTCTCCCGCGGCTGCAGCACGTCTGCCAACACCTGCACCTGAGTGCTCCCCTCTGTGTCAAGGCTATTCTGGATATGGTACTCAATTTCTCCCAGCTCCACCCGCTGACCACGGATCTTGATCTGCGAATCCTTTCGGCCGATGAAGGTCAGTCTCCCACTGTCACCATTGCATTCATATCGCACCATATCCCCCGTGCGGTAGAGACGGCCTCGGCGGCCAGGGCAGCCAGGTCCCCCACGCAGCAGCCACGGGGGGTCTTTCACAAAGGCTGCGGCCGTCTTCACCGCATCACCGAGATAGCCATGTCCGACTAGGGGACCCTCCAGCCAGAGCTCTCCCACTGCCCCGAGCGGTGCCAGCTTGTCCGGATTGTTGGCGTCCACTACCCACGTGACAAGGCCCTCGCCACATCCGATATTATTCTCGCACGACGATCCGCGAACAGGCGCCATGGTTGCCTTGACAGAGCATTCGGCCGGCCCATAGGTGTTCAGGAGCCCGGGGTGGCTCGCCCAGCCACCGAGCGACGCCTGGCTGAATGACTCGCCGCTGAGGATGACCCGGCGCAGTTGGGGCAGCTGTTGCGGCGAGAGCAAGCGCAAGATTGAGGGCGTGAGGTCGACCAGCGTAGCCTGGCTGGCCTGCAGCGAGCCAAGGAGGTTGTTCTTCCGTTGCTCGTCCGACGGAATGCACAGACAAGCCCCGGATGTGAGCGAGTGTAGCATGTTGGACCATGTGACGTCGAACGCATACGACACGAAGTCATACACCCGGACGCCAGGTGCGTACCCCAGCGCTCGCTGTTGGTAGTGGGCGGCCGAGGCAAAGTTCTCGTGGGTGATCATGGCGCCCTTTGGCACACCGGTGCTGCCCGACGTGAAGACCACGTATAGCAGATCCGAGGGGACCGCTGTTCGGGGCAAGGACTGACCCGGAGCCATGTATGGGATGGTTTTCACGAGGCTCCAGTCCAAGATCAGCAAATTTGGGCAGTTAAGGGATGACACCGAGAGCCGGTTGGCAGGCGAGGAGATGACCACATTGGGCTGCACCTGGCTCGCAATTGACCGAGCGCGTTCAAAGGGCTGCGTCGAGTCGAGGAGGACGGACGCGCCGCCGGCTTTCATCACCGCTATCTGCGCAACGGGCACCCACATGGATTTTTCAATGTAGATGGGTATGATCTTGCCGGGTCCCACGCCCTGTTGAATGAGATGAAGCGCCAATCGAGTGGACAGGTCGTCCAGCGCCTGGTACGTGAGCTCCCCGTCCCACGCTGATATGGCTAGAGCGGCGGGCTGCCTCTGGACGGTACGGGCAAACAGGTCGTGAACTAAGAGATTTATGGACTTGGGCACCACTTGATTCAAAGTCCAGATAATGCGAAGATCGTGTTCGCTTGCCGTCTCGACGTCTCGAATTGCGCGCCCGACGTGGGCCGGCGTGCTAAGCCATCGGAGTGCGCATTCAAATTGGCGCAGCATCTTGGCGGCGAGGTCACATTCGAGCACTCCAGGGTCGAAGTTTGCGCGAAGCTGAACGTCCGATGGCCCTAGAATGCACTGAATTGACAGTACCAGTGGCCGCGAGGGGAGAATATTATGTTCGTTTCCCCCAACCAGTCTGTCATCCTGCACCGTTTCTGGCCCTGAGGTAACGATCGCGAGAAGGGTTTGGAAGCGACAGGCGCGAGCTGCGCCTTCACCCAGCCGTTGGATACGCAGGATGTTCAGATTTGCGCTGCGCATACTCTCTGTATGGGTGCGCTCGAGCAGGTCGACGACCTTTTCATCACGATCGAGCGTGACTCGCATGGGGGGCGCCGTCGCCATAGCTGGGGATGTCGGCAGCCCCTCGCAAGATAGTGTTCCGAACCAGACATCATCGGAATTGGTATGAGCTGCCTGCACACTCGCCCACGCGGCTCGGACGAGGGAAACGGCCGTGTACGATTCTGGCCAAGTGATATCGTGGACCATATGCTGGACCAATGCGCCTACTTTGGGCCGGTAAGACGGCGAGGGAAGGGGAGGGAATGTGATGCCATCCAGGCCTGCGAACTGACTGTTCCAGTGTGACATAGCCGAGTATTCATCGATGCCACTGATGTGCTCGAAATACGAGTCGTAGACCGACCGCTTGCTGCTGTCGCCATTCTGGTATCCGACCAGGTACGCGATGGCTGACTCCAGCGCACCCACAATCATGCTGGCCACTCCTACGCTCATATAATCGCCCCGGTATTGAATGCTAATATCAGTCTCGACTTTGTCCAAGGTAGCACTCAGCAGGAGATCAAACTGCATGCATAGATTAGCATATATTTCAGCCACCACACCGCAAAGACTCCCGTTAACCCGTCTTAGAGGCAGGGCAGGGTAGCATAGATAACGCCAATAGAGAACCATGCGTGGTTACCTACCTCGTGGGGGTCCTCCTCTCGAATCTCCTCAAGTCGCAGCCCATCATCGCAGCCGTACCGATGGGCCTCTCGTACGGTAATGGCGGTGTTGAACAGGGCTCCGCGTCTGCCCATGGCGTGCTGGATCTCGGCGAGGGACGTATGCTGGTGATTGAGGTGCTCGATCGATTGCTCGCCCACCGCGTGCAGAACGTCCATCAAGCGTGGCACACTGAGGTCGATGCGAGCGACGAGCATGCTGATCAAGGGGCCCACTATGGCCTCCACGCCCTCCACGGGCGTGTCGCGGCCGGAGCAGACATACCCGAAGCACACCTCCGTCATGCCCGTAAACTGCGCGAGAACTAATGCCCAGGCGACCTCAAGGAACACGGCTCGGGTAATGTCATGCTTGCGGCAGTAGGGTGAGATAGCCGTTGTGGTGGCTTGCCGGAGAGGAATGAGGCCGTATAGCTCACAGCTCTTTGCGCGTTGAGCGTGCATGGGAAGGAGATCACCGAGAAGCTCACACTGCTGTGCACCTTCCAAGTGAGCCTGCCAGTAGGCCAGTCGGTTGGAGGATGACAGACTACCTTCGACGTGGCTCACCACGTTGCTGAAGGGTGGAGGATCAGGGCGGTTCCCCCAGCGGCCTCCGGCGTATACAGTGGCCAGATCTCGCATCAGTACTGGGATGGAGGCAGCGTCAATCAAAGCGTGGCTTATGTCAAGTCTACAGGCGACCTCCCCGTCGTGATCTTGGCAGACAGTGACTCTGTACTCAGGTGACGAGGACACCATTGTGGGGGAGTTCATGTTCAAGAGATATTGCGTAGCTGATTGGCTTGTGACGGCGGGCGTGGCACTGACTACACGGGGCTCGATACCATTCAAGAGGACCTGAATATCCCTCCCGGTGTCCGGATGAGACGCGAAGACTGTGGCAAAGATGCTGTGTTTGCGGACCACTGCCTTCCAGGCCGCTACGACACGCGCCGGGGACACGGCAGGCGAGGGCGCCAACCCTGAGGAGCAACGCCAGACCCAGCTATTCCGATACGAAGCCGCTCCCTTCTTCTCACTGAGGAGGATTCCCTCCTGGACTGGCGTACACGGGTAGATGTCCTGCACCGCATCTGTTGTGATCCCCCGTTCCACGAGCTGACCCGTGAGCAGTGCCTCGAGACCCGCATATGAGATAGACAAGAGGGGAAAGTCTGAGAGAGTGGGAGACGACGGGATAGCCAAGAGGTCTTGGGATGCGGCCTGGAGCGCATCGGGGAAGAGATGTTGGATCCAGCGGTGTAGTCGGCTCCGGTGCCTCATACGCTGGTGCGTAGTCGTGGAGATGCGCGCGCGGCCAGCCTCGACAACAATATTGATTTCCACGAGGGCCATGCGCTGGTAGTCGTCTCCAAACTCCCCTATGGCCACCGTTCGATTCGGCCGGTCTTCTCGCTGTAACAGTGTCCCGGCAGTTTCGAGCTGCTGGAAGACGCCCCGGTAGTTGAGCAGCAGCTCTACGGGCTGGTGATGGGCGAAGGCCTGGCGTCCAGCGGCGCTATGATAGCGACAGGCGATATACGGCCGGCCTTTTCCAGGCACGCGCGCACGTATATCCTTGGCCTGGCGGATGCTGTCAACAAGTGAGTCCGATCTTGATCCTGAAACGGGGACGGGGTGAAGGGTGGTGAACCAGCCCACCGTCTCAGCAAGGTCCACGTCGGTGCCCATCAACGGCTCGCGGCCATGTCCCTCCAGGAAGACGGCTGGCGCGGTGCGGTCCGGAAAGGCCTGGCGGAAGGAGTGCACTAGGGCGCCGACAAGTATGTCGAGGGTCTCGGTGCGCAGGCTGTGATTGATGCGGCCCAGCAGTAGGGCCGTTGTTTCTGTGTCGATAGTATGTTCATAAAGGTCGCTTTCCGCGAATCGATTATCTTTAGGGTCCAGACCCCAGTAGGACATCTGTGCGGCCTCCACCGGGTAGGGCAGCACCGCAGTCGGGTCGAGCGTGTTGCCTTCTGTACGTTGCAGCCGGCACCAGGTCTGAAAGGAGAGAGGTGCCGATGGGAGCTTGGCTGGCCCTCGGGTCAGACACGTTTCCAATTCGTGCCAGATGACGCGCCATGAAACGAGGTCGATGACGACGTGGTGCGCGCTGAGCAGTAGGCTCGCGTCCTCCTCTCCGCTTCCACCAAATAGATCGGCCGCAAAGACGGGCCCCTTCTGGAGGTCAAGGCTCTCCTGTCGAGCCTGCACGACTGACTCGAGGCCGCCAGGCGGACGGGCTGGGTGTTCTACGACGACAAATGCATTATCCTCCGCCCGAACTACCACTTGTTCCCATGTCTGAGTGTCCCGACGTCGCTGGAAGCGGACTCGAAGCATGCCGTGGCGCTGCACGATAGTTGCCAATGCCTCTCGCAATGCATGAAAGCTCAGCGGGCGGGTGACGCGGAGCAGAAAGCTCTGGGTGTAGTGGTTCAGACCGGCAGGGTGTGCGTCGAAGAACAGCTGTTGCATGGGGGAGAGCGGCCAGGACCGACCTTCGGCATCATCCTCGCCGGCCACGATGGCAGTGGTGGGACTTTTTGCTTTCCTTTGAGCAGCCAGGGCTCGGATGGTGCGCAGCTTGAGTACCTCTCCGACCGTGACGTGGACTTTCCTCTCTCGGCATCGAGACACGACCTGCATGGCGGTGATGGAATCTCCCCCAAGGCGTGTGAAGGCTGCGTCGGTGGAGATCTTGTTTGGGGGGATATTAAGCACCTCGCTCCAGACTTCGAGCATGTCCTGTTCCTCTTGCGACGTCGGCTGCATCCGCTCAGTGTCCTCATCCAGTATGGCATGGTCCCAGAATATCTTCGATGCCGCTTCCCTGAGACGCCGGCGGTCCGTCTTCCCGGTGGCTGTCATAGGAAAACGCCCGAGAGGAATGTAGGCTGAGGGGATCATGTACGCAGGAACTGACTCTGCGAGCCTTTCGTCCCAGACTCCAGCAGCCTTGCGCACAACGGTTGCCATGTCTGAATGAATGGTGTCATCAACGGAGCTCACCAAGGCCACGAGCGCGGGATTTGTGCTTCCATGCGGCACAATGACCTCGGAGATGACCTGCAACCTCTTCTGGAGCTCAAATGGCAGGCAGTTTCGCAGATGATGTTCCACGTCCGCCAGCTCCACCCGCTGCCCACGGATCTTGACCTGAGAGTCTTTGCGACCGACAAACGACAGAGAGCCGTCATGCCGGTTATAGCGCACGAGGTCTCCCGTGCGGTAGAGGCGACCCCGTCGACCTGGCTGGGTCGTAGTGAAGCCGCGGCGGAGTAACCACGCTGGGTCCTCGATGAACGCCGCTTCCGTCTTCTTCGGATCGTTCAGATAGCCTCCTCCCACAATGGGGCCTTCGATCCACAGCTCTCCAACGGTGCCAATGGGCGCCAGCTGGGCTCCATCCAGGCTGACCACCCAGGTGCAACTACCGAGCCGTGGCCGATGGGAGGGTTCCGGTCCGCCATGGATGTGTCAACCGCCTGCATCGTACTAGTTACCGAGCACTCAGCTGGACCATAGGTATTAATTATGGTTGCCCTCGTATGAAAGGCTTGAACGAGTGAAGCCTTCAGTTCCTCGCCGCTGAATTGCAGGAACTGGATGCTTTCGGGCAGATCCTCCGGTGAAAACCAGGTCACTGACGGTGTTAAATGGGCATACTCAGCCCTGTACTTCCGCAGGGCGCCCGGGATGTCTTGCTTTCGCTCCTGGTCGGATGGGATGCACAGACAGCCTCCAGCGGTGATAGTGTGGAGGAAGTTGGACCAAGCCACGTCAAATGCATACGACGCAAAATCGAACACCCTCTGCCCGGCTCGAAATTGAAGGGCTCTCTGCTGGTGCCGGATGGCGCTGGCAAAGTTAGAGTGTGTAACAATGGCTCCCTTGGGCACTCCTGTGCTCCCCGACGTGAAGACGATATAGAGCCGGGCGGACGGCGCCACCGTGGGGAGTACGCACTCGGCTTCGCCCTGGGGAAGCTGGGCGAATGCGGCCTTTCCCACGACCATGACAGGCTCGGTCGACAGACGACGGGTGACGGCCTCATTTTCGACAGATGTCAGAACCAGCCGGGGATTTACCTGACGAAGGATGGTCCGAAGCCTTTCTACGGGCTGAGACACGTCCAGCACGACGGAGGCCGCACCTGCCTTCATCACCCCCAGCTGGGCCACGGGAGTCCACATAGACTTCTCGAGGTGTAGAGGTACGATAGTGTCTTTCACACCATACTTCATGAGGGATTGTGCAAGATGAGTTGAGAGGTGGTCCAGCTCACCGTATGTCAGCTCGCCGTCATAGGCGCAGATAGCAGGCGACTCTGGCTGAGCCCGCACGACGCCAGCAAAAATATCATGGACGAGCCCATCCACCCTCTCCGGAACTGCCGAGTTCCAGCGCCAAATTTCCCGCAGGTCTTGCATGTTGACGACCCGAAAATTCGAGAGGCGTTCACCCCTGTCAGACCCAGCTGAAAGGAGACGTCGAAGGATGCTTTCATACTGCCAGGACACGTGGTTAATCAATTGAGGGTCGACGGCTGCGGAATCGATCAGGAAGCTCAGCTGGAGCTCATCCGCATGGAGCGTGCAGTCTACTAGCAATGCCCGGTGATGCAAGCCTGTTGACCCATCTTTGGTCTGCAAGTCGAGCGTTCGTGCCCCGAGAGACCGCGGCAGGGCCATGCTGACATGTTGCATGCGCAAGATAGTTGGGTCGGGGAGCCGGTCCTGCACGCTCTGCAAGAAGTCTTGCAGATCTGACTCCCAGGCTACAGCGATGCAGAACGAGGGATCTGGGGTTAGCCCCTCGGCGCTACACTCCTTCCATGAGGACTGTAAAGGCCGCTGCACATCGGGCACCACGGTGAAGGTAAACTCCGTCGAGTCGGTGTGCGACGCCAGCACAATGGCTAGAGCCGCAGCGCATAGTGTAGCTGCTGTCGACCCGGGATTACCTGTCGGTAAAGGTAATTGGAAGTTTAGAACGGCCTCATCTCTCCGAGCATGGCCGCTTATTTGATCAATGTGGCAGTTGATTGAATGGCCTGGTGTTATGTCATTATTTACTACTAGGTGGTTGTCCATGTGCATGTCCGTCGCATGTCTATTTTGAGAATTCGTGCTGTACTTGGGACCCTGGTCTGATACACCATGACCGTAATTGTCCCGCTTCCCTTCTTTCAAGGACTCGTCGACGGAGTTTAGTGCTGTTGGTTGCCACAGAGGCTGCGGTGTGCCATCCATTACACTCATAGGGTTTGTGTTTCGCATGGCCACACGCGAATAGAAGGAAATGAAAGGTAAGAGTGAGGTTGGACAAAAGAGGGTCCAAATGTTAAGTCGGGTAGGCAAGTGAGTGGATCTTTGTTAGAGGTATTGGAATATCATCGAGAATGAGACCTTGAGTACAAGAAGAATGCCACCCTCCTCCCCATACTCCATCATTCAGTAAATATATATGTATCAGCAGCACATCACGTCCTTGACGGCCGAAATTAGAAAGTCCGCTGTGCTTACAATGCGCTCCCTCGACTAAGCAGTCACCATTTCTCGCTAAAACCAGGCAAACCACATTGTCGTATTTCTAGCATTGGGTTGTGTGTCCACCAGGCGCAGTAAGCTACATTAAGGTATGATCGTCCCGGAATCTTAAGCTGTGTCCGTGCCTCATGAGCCTCTCGACGCCTCGAAGAATGAGAAAAAGCCTCTCTATTCGTTCCCCCCGTAGCCGCCAAGTTTATATAAACCATGGCAGATTTTAGGTCCGTTGGAATATTCTCTCAGGCTACCCATGTCTATCCCAACGTCGTATTTACTAAGGCTGCGATGCAACCTCAACTTCACCATCGGCTGAACCGCTCCACAATTTCTGGAATGCCAGGGGGCATAGACTGCAAGGGGCAAACCAGATCAGTAATACGGCATAACAACGACTCATGTCGTTATCCACGCCTGACGCGTCCATTCTCTAGGACCAAGGGCTTTGCCTGGTCGTGACACACAGCCTTCTATCACCTCGGTTCACATACTTGGCCCCAAGCAGCCCGATGAAGGCCTATAATATTCGAGACAATGCCGGTTCGTTCGCAAAGAAAGGGATTATAGTCCAGGTGAAACTACCATGAAGGACAATAGCAATGGCAGGAACGGGGACTCTCTGTTAGACGTCCCAGGTACATCTATTCTCCCTGCGCCCAGCGGCGAGGACGAGTCGCTGCCGCTCAACTGGAGTCGGACTCAGAAATGGCTCACCGTCATCACACTCTCAGCCTTGGCATTTATTGTGTGAGGGATCAGCATGCCCTGCATCCTTCTCTTTGTAGACTGATCGGTGAACAGTAACCTCTCGACCGTGATTTGCGCTCCCGCCAGTATTCAGATCTCCCAGGAGTTTGACTCCCATAGCAACTTCTTGGGCGTCTTCTACATCACGGTGTGGAACCTGGGCGAAGCCATCGCGCCTCTATATATTGGGCCACTTTCAGAACGAGTGGGACGACTGCGTGTCTACCACTTCTACAATGTTTTCTTTATCATCTTTACCGCCATCACTGGCTTCAGCAACAGCATTGGCATGATCATAGCCTTTCGCTTCCTCACCGGCACCGCCACGACGGCGTTCTTGAACAACAGCGTCGTGGGCGACATATTCGCCTTCGAGGCCCGTGGCTCTGCCATGTCAGTTATGAGCCTGATGCCCCTCGTGGGCACCGCGATCGGCCCCATCATCGGCGGCTACCTCACGCAGCGCCTCAGTTGGCGCTGGACCTTCTGGCTGACTGCCATCCTCACTGGCATTGTAGAGTTGGCCATGATCCTGGTTTTTCGGGAGACGTACTTGCCCTATATCCAGCGTCAACGGGAGAAAAAGAATGGTGCCACTGCTTCAGAGGAGCCCAAGGCCCGGCGTCCCCTGTATATGCTGCCACTGGAAGTCTTGCGCTTCCTCTTACAACCGTTCGTCATCCTGTTCCGGTCTCGGCCGGCAACCATTATAGCGCTGTACCTGTCCATTATCTACGCCTACCTCTTCCTGCTCGCTGCAACGCTGGCTACGGTATTCCAGCAAAACTATTCCTTCTCTGAGACTAATTCCGGTCTGATCTATCTTGCGCAAAGTTAGTCCTTTCCCTCCGTACTTCCTCCAACAACGCTTGATGTCCAAGTGCTAACATGATACACCCCTTTCAGCCACGGGCATGTTCATTGGAACACTCTTCTGCCGCTTCACGCTCGACCGCTTGGTTACCGGTAAGGCGAACCTACTGGAGAACAACCCAAGGTCGGAATCGACGGCTGCTGTGGCAGTGCGGTCCGAGAGACGGCTAATGCCGGCGCTCCCAGGCATGGTGATCCTACCCACCGCGTTATTTATGTACGGCTGGACCCTACAGACCAAGGTCCACTGGATGGCACCGGCTGTCGCCACCGCACTGGCTGGCTTCTGTCTCTCCACCGCGACCATCCCTGTCATGAACTACCTGGTTGATGTCTTTGGTGACAAGTCTGCCTCGGCCATCGCAGCCGTCCTGCCGCTGCGCTACGTCCTGGGAACTTTCCTGCCTGTTGCCGCTCCCTACATGTACGGCCGACTCGGCTACGGCTGGGCAAACTCGCTCCTAGCCTTGGTTTTGGTCTGCTGTCTACCGGTGCCCCTCTTGCTGATCATCCCACCGGGGAAGAATCCAATCTTAGTAAAGCTGGCTCGCCTTGTTGGAAACCATCCTGCATGAAAGGAGCGGCTTCACTTGGAGCCGCCGCAGGAACCTTAACAAGCATGCATACTCAATGGTCAGCCAACTGTCAATTGAAATTGTATAGTTATATTTGTACAATTATGTAGTTGTACAAAGTGCCACTTTTATGCTATAGCACACTATGAACTCGCACAAATTGGCAACACCATATCCTGGCTTCTCTTCCCTCTCTCCAATTCCTGCCCTATTTGCCCAAAGGTATAATGCAGTCCCTCATCAGACAGGATGGTCAGCCTCATCACCCACGGTCTGTCGAAGACCTAAAATACAGAGCACTGAATGTGTTCTTCTCGTAGGTATGGGGTAAATAATTGCATGGGAATTGCAACTAGAGTTGAAAGTCTACAAGCGATGCAATATAGGATGGCTGCGTATTTGTATTGCTTGCAATCCAGTATAGCTTGAATAATTCGAGGTTGGGTTGGGCCCTGATGTGGTGTGTTATATCGCACTCTTCTCAACGTGATGCATTCCGATACAACAATCTACCAGCAGCCAATTGTCGCAACTCGGTATAGGTTACCAACGAATCCGTGCAATGTAGTCCTACCATATCAACACTCGGTGTAGCAGCCACCTTAGCCAGCTGATCGTCGACAAAGATGGTTTCAGCTGCCGGGGTATTAATCCGCTTCAACACATGTTCGTAAAACTCAACGTCCGGTTTTCGCATCCCCTCTAGCGCGGACGCAAAGATGCCGTCGAACAAGTCCCACTCGTAGTGCATCGTCCGCAGCTAATCGAAGTCTGGGGCAGGGATATTCGTCATCATATAGACCGCCACCCCTTTGTCCTTGAGCTCCCGAAGCAAGGAGGTCATTCTTGCATCAGGCCTCAGGCTGCCCGTGTTCTGGCGAAGCACCGCAGCGATTTCCGACCCAGGGAACCCAATATGGGATCTAAGTTCATAATAACAATCGTCTGGCGCGATCCTCCCACGCTCGAACTCCTCCCAGGTCTCGCTATTGATAACGGTTCGGAGATACTCCACGGATACCTACGTGTGGAGGATCGGGCTCCAAGTGAAAAAAAAAACTCCCCCATGTTGAAGATGACGGCCTTGAAAGTACTGGACATGTTGATTGGTGGTGAGCAAGGACCCAGGAAGCCCGTTGGAGGAGCACAGAGAGAGGAGCGTATAAATAATGCTAAATCTTTGGTACTGGCGACCGCTTCGACCATGCCAAGTCTATCTGTGGTCTTTAATTTCAATTCCTTCTAATGCATTCTCTAAAGAGGAGCCTCGCCTACTGGGGCTGCAAGCTGCTGGAATGCAAACCGCTTGTTCGCCGAATAAATCCCCTCCGAGAGAGCGGAAATTTATGCGACCACAGATTGATGTATCACACACAGTGCCAAGAATCGGAAAAATGCTTGAAGAGACTTAAAAGCCCTTACCAGGGCCTTGGTTCCAAGTCTTCTGGTATAGAACAGGCAGTTAGCTGTTCCTATCCTTGTATTCTTGGGGATAGACCAACAAACAAAAGATTACGGCGTGATGACAACTTTCATTCTCGCCTCTACTCATGATACGACACATTTATGGCTGGCAATGATACTATTACGCTAGTGTTAACAGCCTCGGCCTTGGTAGCAATGTGGCCTCATGGGCTGTTGTTTCCGGCGAAGCATAATAATCTTAGATCTTCCAGTTTCTGCAGGCAGTATATTCTCAAGGCAGACATACGTCGTTAAATAGAGAAATATGCAAGGTGCCTGATATAGGAAATTTAGACGATAACAACGGTCACGCTAAAGCGCTTGTATTCGGTTTTCATGGCATAATACAGGGAACAGTCTTATCTATACCGTGCTGCAAGTGAACAGCTGCACTGTTGCGATACTCGTGCGGGTAATGGCTAGATTTGCGATCTATCACTGTCAGGTCGTATCTCAGGAATCGTTAGAGGTACGGTCTAAGGATATGGGAACGAAGGGATATATAATGGACACGATCCTGGGATCGAGTTTAACAATCCTTATCCTTATCAGAAATGAGCACTGCATGACTACAACTTACGTCTAGGCTTAGGCTTAGTGGGTATAGGCCTCGCTGACTTGCAGCTTCGCTCTGTTCACGCACTCTACAGAATCCGCCAGCAAGCTTTACCGCATGCGGCTATGTTTTCAAGGGGCTAGACTAGGTTAAATTGCTTCAGGTGGGTATTAAACATACGAATGAATGCTTTTTAAGCCACCGTTGGGCAATTCTAATAGTTACGAAATTACGCCTAGAGCGTTGGTGTTCCCACAGAAATATACAACGGGTGTTGCTCCTCGTGACTATTAAGTCCAGCTACAGCCATAGTAGGATATCTTGCTTTGAAGGCTACCAAGATACTATCAAACCGAGCGAAATACGCCCGTTTAGTCCAATCGGTGTTTCCACCCCAATGTACCTTTATACAAACGCAGTATATAACCTGTCATTTACTCCCGATCGCGACTATTGCAGACAACCATCCCGGCCAGCTGGTTGAGGTCCATACTACTCATGATATCAAAGATGGTGAGATCCACGCCAATCTCACTATGAAACCAGTTCTTGAGATCCAAAGCCATCAGTGAGTCCATCCCGTGTGCACTTACCGGCTTCTCAGCATTGATCTCCGCTCCGGGAATGCCCATGATCTGTTCCAACTTGACGCGGATCCAACTGGTGACAAGAGACACAGCCTCGTCCTGTGAATCCACTGCTCTCAATTCAGGTTGTCTATCTATAGCAGTGGCCATGGTGGAGGCTTTAGTCTCAAAACTACCCCCTTTCAGCTGCCTGTCAATGGCGAACAGATGACGGAACATTGGCCGACGCATGAAGTGCTGGAGGTCGTTGCCTTTGGCCCGTACATTGGACGGCAGCTCGATGCCGACGAGTATTTGAGCTTCGTCATGAGAAAGTAACGGCAATGTTGGGTTGCAGTAATAGTCCAAGAGGGCTATGAGCTCGTCTTGCGATATATCCATCAAGTGCCCCATTGATCGAAGAGATGCCAGCAAGGACTTGTTCTCGGCCACGAGGCCTTCTGAAACCATGAGCCCTAGATCGAGAGCAACAGCCTTTTCTCCGGCACTAATTCTGTACTTTGCGAGGGCATCCTGGAATGTATTACCAGCGGCGTAATTGGCTTGACCCATGCCGCCCAGACTTCCGTTTACAGATGAAAGAAGAATGAAGAAATCCATGCCCTGGGGCAATAGACGATGCAAGTTCCATGAGCCAGCAACTTTGGATTGGGTACTCTGAGTCCAGTCATCATGACTCATATTTTCAAAGAGATTGTCCTTTGAAGGTTGTTAGACATTATAGTCCGTGTCGTGGTAGTTGAATATGGTGTGCAGATGGTAAGACCTACCTTCAGAACCATCGTCGCCTGTATGCAACCACGAAACGGGGGCATGTGCACGGATAAAGCACCAATAATTTCCTTGAGGCCAGCAAAATCGCCGATATCGACGCGCGGTGCAACAGTCTGAACTCCTTGGGCTTCTAGTTCATGTAGCAAGGACTTTGCTGCTTGGCTTTGGCGACCAGAGCGAGAGAGAAGCACCAGGTGGCGAGCGCCTCTGCTGACCATCCATCGCGCAATACTTCGTCCCAAACCACCAAGCCCACCAGCGATGACATAGGTAGCGGCATCAGAGAAGCAATATGCAGGCTTTCTGGAGACATTTACCTGGAACATTTGTCAGTGGTTGTATTGTATCAATGGATCAGGGGTGGGTATGGGTAGCATACAGCAATTGTGGCTCCGTTACTCAACTCCACAATATTCTTTCCTATTGAAGTTGAGCTGTTTGGCTTCTGGAAAATTGTCTCAACATCAGTGGCAGGGAGTATATTGAGGGGTTGTGGCGGCTTGAGCGATTGAGAGAAGTACGACTCCATGGCTTCCTGGAAGATTTGATAAGCGGCAGATGCCTTTGTTCGCAGAAGCCCTGCTAGATTTATTGACGCCTGTGTTACATTTGCAACTTGCGTTCTGGGCATAGGGCTCCTGCCATTTACCGATGACCTCTTTAGGCTGGTATCTAGGAGACGTCCGTGTGGAGCAAGATATTCGTAGAAGTCGATCATGCTATAATCAGCCAAGGAGCCGAAGATGATATCGAAGCCATTTCCTTCCGTCACTTCATGCAGCTTGCTACTCATAGACGGATCGTGAGTCAAGAAGACGCCTCCTTGTCCAATGCCAAACACCTCAGAGACAAAGCTTCTCTTGGACTCAGAACTAACGAGGGAAAAAACGCGAGCTCCTCGGATGAGTGCAAGTTGCATGGCCATCTGAGCAACGGCACTGGACCCTTGGCAAATCAAGAGGGACTCTCCCTTTTGAATCGCAGCAACACGAACTATTGAGTGATAGGCCAGCCAAACAGCACAGGGTAGTGAGGCTGCTTCTATAAATGTCATATCTGCAGGTAAGGCTCTGGCAGCATCTGCTCTTATTCGGACAGACGTGCGAGCCATGGATGTCCCAATTAGACAGACACGATCGCCCAGGTTGAAGCAAGATTTGCGCCCGACTTTCTGAACAATTCCGGCACACTCCATGCCCAATTCTGAGTTGTCGAGTTCCCCAATTGCAGCCAGGTAATCACGAAAAGACAGCCCGATGGCTTTGACTTCGACAATTAGTTCGTCATCGCTAAGCGCGTGTGTATCTAATGGCTCCTCGCAAAACCCTACGATATTTTTAGGGCCAGGTGAGTCCAGTACGATTGATGCTTGAGCTTTACTGGGCAACTGCCACAGCTGTTGTTGGTATTTTTGGTTCGCCTGACTGACTGTCTCGTTCATGGCAAAGCCTTCCGAAACACGGGGTATGTGCAGCAAACCATCTTTCACAATGAGGTTGGCCTCAAGATCACCCTTGGGTCCGTCTTTTATCTTATTGACTACAAGAGATATCACATCACTGCGTTGCTTGACTCTCATATCGGAGCCGTCTAGAGCAAGGGTAACAAACATTCGTGTTGGGTCTTCGGATGCCAGCGACCGACCGAATCCCTCCACTAGACATTGATTTGGAGTAGTCTCCCCTTGTGCTTGCGTGATCCAAAGGGTATTCTTCAAGGCAAGGAGAACCGATTGGAGCATGCCGAAATTGTCTCTAGAAATATTGTCGAGGAATGGTTTCTGCAGCTGAAGGAGAGAGACTAGTAACGTTGAAGGCGAGAGTTTCTTCGTTGCGAGTTCGTGGAGAGTGTAGGTGTGTATATCAATGAAACGTTCCTCGAGTGATGCTGCTACTTGATACTGATCCTCAACTTCTCGGTCTATCATGACCGCTATATCCGTGAAAATGTCAGAGACTTCGTTCTGGTCAGCCACTCCATTGACATGAGCCGCCGCCCTGGAAATCATGATGCTACTGTACTGATAGTCACGATCTTGCTGACCTTCAAACTTCAGATCCAGACCAGAGAAACCTGCGTTCTTGAGCCTATCATCCCATTGAGCAGTTGTCAGGCATGGGCTGTGCTGGGACCGAGACTCAAATCCAAGCGGACTCCACCAGCCCTTGAGCAGCCCAAAGGCAAACCCAATTGGTAAGCAGTCAGGATCCGTAGTTTCGAACAGCAAGAGCCTTCCATCCGGTTTGAGAAGCTTTCTAATATTCTGTAGTGCTTGGTCAAGGTTCTCGACAGCATGAAGGACATGTGATGCTACGATCACATCATAATCGGTTTTCTGGAAGGCCTGGGAGATTGGGTCCCGTGAGAGGTCATAGGCTTGGAAGCGCATAATATCTGCATAGTCTCGAAACCTTTCGCGGGCATTGACAAAGAACGCTGGTGAGATATCGGTGTAGTCGTACCGGGCACACCGTTTTAGACCGTTCGAGGTGATGGCTTCCAATACACACAACGTTTGACCTCCAGTACCGGCCCCGATTTCAAGGAAGTTCATAGATGGGTTTTTGAAGCATAGATGATCAAGATACACTTTCACAGGATGAGTATGATAGGGGTTTCCTAGCATTTGCTGATAATAACGATCCGCAAGACCATTGCCGAACATCAACTCCAGGGGATCAATAATTCCAGATAGTACACCGGTTAGGTTTTTGCCAATGTGCATGAAGAACTGACCCTCTACGTTGGCTTCCTCAACCTGAGCCACAAGTTTGTCGTGCTCACTACGGTTTTGTATTAGCCTTTGAGCCATCATGCGAAGTCCAGCATTCTCTGGCCGTTGCTGTTGATGTTTTATCCATGCCACGTATAGTTTCAATTCCGGTGGTATGGATAGACTGCCACTTTGCGACAGCTTGCTCATAGCATCCTCAATGAATGACATAATGGCAAGCTTTAGGCTCCGAGAATATTGTACAGCATCCTTGGATTCTTCCGGTCGCTCACGGGAGCATTCTCTCTCTAGCTGTGGGAGACTCATGAGGTCAAGATCCGGCCGCCACAGAAGGCGACTACATAGGTTGCGGAGAGCCTTACCCTCATTTCTGGAAGACCCAAGACCACCAAGAAATGTAGCCTCTAGTCCCTCAATGTATAGCAATGGTAGCTCATTCGACCCAGTTGAGGTTGCTACAATGTTGGCCGAGGACCCTCGTGCTCCACGCATGCTACACTTGGCCGACACCTTAAGGCTGCCCTCCTGAAGTAGCTGAAACCTCCTGTAGTTGATCCAAATGCTAGCGGCGAGAGTTGGGACCATTGTAGGGATGACATGTCCCTCCTTCATGAGGGCCGGGAAGACAATTTGAGCTAGACCATCGATGGTACATGGGTGGACGGCATACTTTTGGGGCCATGTATCGGTACGCGTTCTTGACTTCCAAGTATCTATTTGGACCTCGGCGATTGCCTCCCCTTTGTCTCCTACGCGTACGCCCTGCAAGTTCCGAAAACAGGGACCGTACTCTACCGTAGTATCCTGCAGTCTGGCATAGACATCTACCTCGGGGACTCGACAGCCATCACGGACCTCCTTGACCCAGGAAGCAACTCCCTGAGTGGCAAACGGGATCCGTATGGGGGGATTAGCTGAGGTCTGTTCCTCATTATAATTAATGAAAGCACGAACAATCCCATTGCAGCACTCCACGTATGAGCCATTCTCAATAGTGAAAAGCCTAAACCGGGACCAAGTGGTGTGAGTGATCGTCGAATGCTCGGAAGATATGGTGAACTGCGTCTCCACTTGGTCTGTCTCTTCGGAGATGCGGATTGGGTGCAGGAAGCTAACACTTTGGAAATTGATATTAGCAATGCTTGCCGTGTCTTCAATAAGCTGCTGCAATGCCTCAACTGCCATCACAATCATGGCGGCGGCTGGTAGCGTGATGCGTCCTTCGACTCTATGATCACGCAACCATGGCATTTCACTGACTCGTAGGGTATTTCGCCATCGAGCCTCTCGTGGATTCCAGTCCAGTGTACGGGTCCCCAGTAAGTCATGTCGCGCTTCCAAGCGGAAACGAAAGTTTCTGCTAAGACGACTTTCCTTCCAATATGACCTAGTATGATCGAAAGGATACCTTGGCATTCCCTTTGGGATTGGCCTCGGAGTTTCGTCAAGTAGATTTGCTTTAAGCAAATCTACCTGAACGCCGGCGCAGTGTAGCTTTCCTATAGTTCTCAGAAGAGAATAATGGGCATTTTCGCCGCGGATGAGCGATGGAATATAGCTGGGTTTCTTTGCAATAGAACTTGATTGCAAGCAGTCAGATATTGGTCCCTGAAGCACACAATGTGGTCCGATCTCCAGAAGATGGGTGACTGGTGTATTGCAGGAGGCGTTGGATCGGCCGAGCTGTTTGCCTGGCCGCTTGGGAATTTCTATCAAGAGGTTGGCCATAGCTCTATCGAACTCCACCCTGGAATACATGTTTCGAACCCAGTATTCGGCATTTCCCAGAACATCCACTGCTATCGCATGTCCAGTTACGGAGGAGAACATTCGTACGGATCCGGACTCTTGACCTCTTTCAAGGCTTCCCAGCACTAACCGGTACTCATCCGCAATGTTGAGTATTGTACTTGAGTGATATGCAACCGAAACTCGGAGCTTTCGTGCAAATATGTCATCCTGCTCAAGCCACAGTCGCACCATGTCTAGTTGTTCTGCGCCCCCACTTAATGTGATGCTGTGTGGACTGTTCACGCACCCAATCACAACATCGACTATGTTGACTTGCTCCCGGAGCCGCTGAATATATGGAATTATGTCATCCTTCGAGAGACGTACCGCCATCATGGTCTGAGCGGGGCTATTGGCTGCGAGCTTAGAGGATAGAATGCCTCTATAATAAGCAACCTTGATAGCAGAGAATCGAGAGAGAGCCCCAGCAGCGTATGCAGCAGCTATCTCGCCGGATGAGTGGCCTAGAACAACTGTTGGCGTTACCCCTATGCTGGTGAGGTAGTCGATGAGAGCAATTTGGATACATGTGGACAACGGCTGACTATACTTGGGATTGTCGATTTGAAGGTCGCAGTTATCGACACTTAGGAGTCGGTAAAGCGACCATGTGCAATTGAGTCTCTTCAAACATTCCTCCGACAGAGCAACACTTCTTTTGAATTCTGGGAATAGGAAGAGTTCACGACCCATACCGTGATACTGACCTCCCTGGCCGGTAAATATGAATGCAACTCCAGCGTGTTCGTTTGCTCTGAGCGGTGTGTCCGCCTTTACCCGGGAGGTACAGAGCTGATTGTCCGATCCACCTGAGATTGTGAAGCCGCGCCATGATAGGTGACTTCGTTTCGCTGACAGAGTGTACGCCAAGTCATCCAAGTCACACTGGGCCTGCTGAAAAAGTTTGCAGAAGGAATCAGACAGTGCTTCTGCGCCATCCTTCCTGGTGGCAGACCATACAAGCAGTCTTGGCACCTGAGCAACATCTAAATGACCGCTTGGCCCATCATTTGAGGATATAACTGTAGCGGCTTGACCCACGGGGCGATATGGGATAACTTGCTCGTCGTACATTCCTTGACAGGTACGGTGATGGCCATGAAGACCATTGAGCTGCAGGTAGTTATATACGTCGTCCAGAATGACAATAGTATTTGTGCCTCCAAAGCCAAACGAATTCACCTATGAAACCATGTATCTCTTAGCAGCCGTTATATAGTTAGAGGTAAAATGTGATTGAAAAGCTTACACAAGCGCGACGAAGACCGGGCTTTGGCCAAGCTAGAGGGCTTGTGGGAAACTGGCGGGCATAATTAGCCAAGCAACGATTAGTAGAGGTACTGCCGACTGCGGTAACATACGCATATGGGGAGGGCTTCTGTATCGATGTGCTTGCTGGCTGTTTTGAACTTTGCAATTGGTGGGATCACTCCGTTCTCCAAGACTAACAAAGTTTTAATCACGCCGGCAAGGCCGCTACAACCTTCCAGATGCCCTATATTCGCCTTCACAGCTCCGAGATATAGAGGATCATGCGAAGTTCGACAATAGCTAAATGCTCGCCCAATAGCCGTTGCTTCTATCGGATCGCCTACTGACGTGCCAGTTCCATGTGTTTCAAAAAAGCGGGTAGGCTGCATATCAATATTAGCTCGCCGGTAGGTCTCCTTGATCAGGGCTATCTGTGACTCAAGACATGGTTGTGTGATCCCTGGAGTTCTACCATCCTGATTTGAACCCGTATTGCGAATAACAGCTCTAATGGTATCGCCATTATGCAAGGCATCCTTAAGACGCTTCACTACGAGCATAGCTATGCCTTCACCCCGTGCATAGCCGTTTGCTCGCTCATCAAAGCTCCAGCATTGGCTATCTGGCGTTAGAAAATTAGCATTTGACATCACCTTCATGAACTGTGGGTGAAACACTAAGTTTGCACCACCCACCAGCGCCTAGGTATTGATGTTCTTGTCAGCACCTTTCGGATGTAGCAAGCCAGTTAAGGTGTTTTCAGTATATACCCACCATTGATGCGGTGCCCGCCCGGAGGTCTTGACATGCAAGATGGAGTGCAATCAAGCTACTCGAACAAGCAGTGTCGATATTCATTGACGTCCCCTTCAGATTGAAGAACCAACTTATGCGATTTGCGAGCATGCAGGTTGCAATCCCCATGGCAGCGTGACGCTGTTCTGCATCATAGTCTTGTTGTAGTATACTGAGGTAATCATTAGTGAAACTCCCCGTATACACAGAGGTATCGGAGCCGGAGCATTTCTCCATGGGCACCCCAGCTGAACAGACTTTGTCAGCCACCGATAGCTACTTTTCACGCCAGTCTACCAGGCAAACTCACCGTCTTCCAATGCGTGATAGGCAGTCTCCAGCAAAAGTCGATGCTGCGGATCCATGCACGCTGCCTCTGCAGGTGATATGGAAAAGAACGGCGCATCGAATGCAGCTAGGTCACCGTGAATGAAGTTTCCTCCCTTCACTGACAGCTAACTGGCTGGTGAGCTTCGATATCTATGAGCTACTAACCAAGGACATGGATCAATCCTACAGTGCTTTGCCTTGACTTGTCAGGATGGTAGAATCCATCTATGCTCAGCCGGTCCCCGGGAAAGTTCGAGGTCGCCGATCTACCTCTCCATATCATGTCCCAAAATTCATCATCTGAGGCAACACCGTCTGGGAATCTGAGCGCAAAGCCCACAATTGCCAGTGGCTCTGAATGAGAGCGGGTTCCTTGAGTTTCCTGTGGCCAGGTCTGCATAATGATCTGGTCTAGTCTGCTGGTATTTATGAGGTAGTTTAGTTGCCAGGAACGTATCTGTCCAGCTATGAGCCTCGAGAAGCGTTATACTACCGTCACTGATTGGCAATAAGTCTTAAATGTGTGGCATTGCAGGGAGGGAATTAGCTATTCTAAACTAGACTGTCACAAGCAGGACATCGTCTGGTTTCTCTGCTTTTCTATTTCTTTTCGGCTGTATTTTCCTCTTTTCTTTCTTTCTTTCTTTCTTTCTTTTCTTTTTGGTACTTTTGTTGAGCTATTGAATATTTTTATGCATTTACTAGTACGCACACAAGGATATGTAATCCAGGCGGGACATATTTTAAGCCTATTAAGTACCTCCTTCCTAGTACTAGGAGTTGAATCCCCCTCCCTCTAGTCCCACACCAAGAGCTTGTTCACTATGCCGACTGGAATGCAGGTGAATACTCACAACCTGACCTCTTCACATCCATAGTGTACTAAAGCTGTTTTAGTAGCGTCCGTTGTTTGCCTTGTCATTCGCATCTAGCTGGTATCCAGTCAGAAGACACCTCTGAGCAAATGCAATCCGACCTCGAGAAACGATCGAACACTGCGCGGTTCAAGATCTTGTGCCTTCACGGAATAGGAACAAACAGCGAGGTAATGTCTCAATGTTTTATCAGTTCGCTTTAACATAGTGACGAGAATAACATACCAATCAAATGACAAGCTGACACCTTTACAGATTTTTGAGGCACAAACAGGTTGGTCTACCTCCCAACATAATCCCTGCCTCCTACCCAAATCACGACAGTTTGATTATGCTACGCTTCTCGGATCTGCTAACGGAAATCTGTAGCCGGTCTAAGATACCAGCTGGGGGAAGACTTTGAGTATGAGTTTGTTGACGGGGGGTATGATTGCCCTGCAGCCTCCGGTATCCGTGAGATCTTCGGTGATGAGATTTGTTATTCCTACTTTGATAGCTCGGCAGACAGTGTCATGGAGGCTGTCCAGGATCTCTACGCTTACACAAACGAGAACGGTCCATTTGACGCAGTGATGGGATTTTCCCTCGGCGCTGCCCTGGCAGTCAAGCTTTTGCTTCATTTTGATCGGCTCCAGACTGCAGGAGGCCAAGTCCAGACCTGTCCACCTTTCAAATGCGCCATCCTTCTGTGCGGGATTTTACCGTACAACTTGACTGAACTCGAGAGGGGACGAAAACAGGTTCTTCACCCTGGGGACCAGGGTAACCTCGTTCGGATTCCCACCGTGCATGGCTGGAGTCCAACGGATGTGGACTATGCGGAACAAAGTCGCCTGCTGATGCATATGTGTGAACCCGCCAAACGGGTCGAGATAGCGCATTCCGCGGGACACAGTGTACCCAGCCGGGGAGAGGAGTTGAACAAACTGGCGCAGGCAATTTGCAGCATGATGGGAAGTGTGTGCAAGACCGAGATGTAACTTCGGATGAAGACGGAGGGGTGCCGCAGCAGGGGGAAATGAGGACACAGGGACCCCTACAATGTATGAGAATGTGATTCGCATCTGATCTACCTTTTTAGGCTGTGGGCACAGGGGCTACACATATACGGGCCCCAGATAGTGCGCTCATCGTATTGAACGAGGCACAAATAGTTGGTCTAAAACACGCTAAGCTTTTGGGCCTCTAGAACTGTAGGGGCTGATTTTCGTACTCGGTATACTGTAAGCGCCAGCAGGAGTGGTTCCCGACCCGACCCGACCCGTGTTCCGGGGCCCGGTAGACTCGAATCCGTCCGTACCCTACCTTTCCAACGTCAAAGATGTCCATCAAATGGCCATCCTACTCCAAGGCTCGATGTTCATGCAAAGTTATGTTTCGATAGACTAGGAGTGGACAATGTGGTTTTCATCAAACCTGCCACATTCCCAGGGACTCGCAGAAATGCGCCCTCGACCAGTTGGTGGCTGTGTTTGCTAGTTGCTTATATCCACGTCAATATTTAGGATCTGATAAGGTCGCCACACCGAGACAATAACCTGTTGGTATGTCAGCCTAGTGTTTTTATTTTCTTTTTGCCATCCCCTAATAGCGACGCGCGCAAATTCCAGCTCTAAATATAAGTATTCCAAATCAGTCAGCTTAAATGGTTGAATTATGGGATCAAACACCAGGGTGAAATGCGCCTGTCGTCCTGGTCCACCCTGTTTGTGCCGCTCGAAACTAACCTAAAAATGTCGATATTATGCGAGCCAAAGGCATCGCAGTAGGAGAAGCATTGCCAACTCATCCCTGCTATAATATTTTGTGGCTAATCATGGTTTAGGTAATGGTTCCTTGCCTGACACTTACTGATCTTGTGGTTGCTTGTAGACACATAAGCGCTTATGCTAATGCCACCTCATGTAAAATCTCTGCAATTCCAAAATTGTACCATTGCATCTTTACTTATCCATGCAGGGCTCCATTTTTCTAAACGGAACACTACAGGGTGTGGACACATTGACTTCCGATTGGGAAAACAAGAGATATGAAACGCCATATATGGCGCCATACTGTCATGTTGCATCTCATTACTTTGAGAATGTGACCTAAACTAAAATGTGTACTAGGTGGAGTGTGAACACCCGTTGGTTCTATCCCGATAGATACATCCTGCCGGCTACAGGGGCTTTCTTCCCACAACACTCCACCGAGTAAAGGCCCAACAGGAGCCTTCGCGGGTCTCCATCTCAAAGCGAGGCATGAGCTCCTGCACCATTTTCAGCACGGTTGCATTCTTGGCCTTGCGCGGCAGGATTTCGTTGATCAACATGTTGCATTCATGCAGCGCAAGAGCAAGGTGTGGAGGTGCATCCCGGGCTTCGGACTTGACGTTCTCAAACCCAGCAGCTTCAAAACGAGATGCGAAGCTAGGAACATAGGTTGGGCTCAATCTCTTGTCTTGGCCCTGATTGAGCTTGAAAAGGGTCTCCAACGCATCAGACTGATTGTTCGGATTGGTCTTGAGAATATGCCACGAGTTCATATCCACTTCATCCCATTGCAAGTACCCACCGGGTTCTAAATATTCTGACATTAGCCTCTGATGGACTCTGGACCGGGGGTCAGAATGGGCCAGGGTAACGTACTGAGGAGCCTGAGAACCCTCGCAATAACAGAGTCCACCTCCTCTTCCAGTAGGACCAAAGTAAGGAGCCGAATATGGACAATATCGTAGATACCGACCAGATCCTCTGGGGGATCCGTTTTGACATCCCACACGAGAGTGCGGACATTGGAGGGGAGCCACTCGGCTGGTGGGGTAGCCTCAAAGGTGATGTCAATCCCGTCAAGTTGCACCGTCTGCGGTAACCGCCTAGCTAAATCGGTGAGCCAGATCCTATTTCGATGGTAATATTAGCTTGAAAGCATTCTCCTTGACTGAGTTGTGGAGACGCAGAAAACACCGACGCTGTTCCTGTCCCTACGTCTGCGACTTTCAGGTTGGGATCCGACGTGGGGATGTCTGGATGGGTGTGATATCCGAACAGTTCCACGGAGAGGTAGTGATGGAGGTTGACTCTGAATAACGAGGTAGCGGTTCATATATTGTCAGTCATAGGGACTCCAGGTACAGTGAGATGGCTTCACCCATGTCAACGTACCTATTGTTATCGAGGTAGTCACGCGTGAGGACGTAGTCCGGTTTCTGCGCCATTTCCAACTGTTGTAAACTGAAACTCGTTTTTAAAGCTTCAAAGCCCTTGTTTTCTGGTTAACAGTGGAAGTAAAAGTATCTGAGCAATGCCTTTGTAGATCTGGAAGAAATGGGAAGGGGGGCCTGCCTTTTGAGTGAGGCACTGGGGTCTTTGGACTCAACTCTGCACGGTCTAACTGGACCACAATCGAAGGCCGAGTGCTTCAAAAAGCGAATTACACTGGTTCTAACGAACTACAAGGTTATTCTGCGTCTAACTCTCTTTGTTAAAACATGGGAAGTGGGGTCGTTGTGTATGGGGGTGGTGTATTTCTTTGCTCGAAAATCCGACATGCGTTGCTCCAGGGCGCCAATCTCGTACGTTGACAACGGAATCAAGCTTACTCGGTTGGGATCTGCGGCACTAGTGCCGCTGTGGCTTGCTCTTTGTTTGTTATCTGGAATTGGTAAAGGTCATGACTCGTGCACCTCTCCTCTAACTGAGCTGATGATCATCGGACTAGCCCTGTCCAACATGATCAGATTTTCTGAGCCTTCCCAACAACTAGCACCGATCACCTCATATATCCGTTTGCAATTTGGTAGAGCCCTTTCTATAAAGCCTTTACGATATTTCCTGCTCTCTAAATGGAGAGCCCTTGATATTTACCGCTCGGAATGAAGTACGTGGAGGTGGCTGCAGTCATTAACCCATGCTTACTTGCGTGGAACCAGATTCCATGTGAAGCCTGTAGTATTGCGAGTCGCATGCTGCACATGACAATCCCTGAGAATCTTCAATTACTGATAGCCAGAAGGGGCGAAAAAAGCAGGTCTCACTGTGAAGGGTTAGACATGCAGCTCATCTGCATCTGGCCTGGCTAGTCTCAGCCTGCCCCCGCAAACCCCTCTACAAACGAAATTAAATGCGAGGTCGAAAATAACCTGATCATCGTAGATCATGTCATGGTACAAGGCATTGTCAAACAAATTCTGCCCCCATTTTGGGGGCAAGCATTACGACGGAAAACTGAATGATAGATCCTTGCTGGATGCTACCCTCATCTGCTCACTGGCCTCCAAGCAAGCATCCTCGGCAAAGGATGAAACCGCGAGGTTCTGGTCATATAAGGCTCTGGCTATTATGCTGATTGCCTATTTGCCATATGCTACGAAGTCTACTCTTATTTGCGCAAGTCGTTTGCTCGCACGTTTATCAACTAGTTTGGTGAAAATGAATTCCCGACATTCCAATGAGACCTCCTCAGGCTCCTCTTATGAGAGCAAGCAGCCCGTCCTTTACGCTATAACGATTATATTCATGGTGCTGGAGACAACGGCGGTCATTCTACGCTTCGTTTCACGGCGTATCGGGAAGGTCTCCTGGAGCCGTGATGATGCCTTGATCATCGCAAGTTGGGCAATGACCATCACTTTCAATGTCACAATTTTGGGTAGGCCCAACTGTGCTAGAAGCGCTCCAAAATGGAAGGCTAATCACTGTTCGGACATTCGCAGTTGATGTCCGCTATGGAGGCACTGGCCTCCATATGGCGCGCATCATGGAAACCGACCCCTCAATGTCAGTCTATTTCTCCCAGGATATTCTTCCTGTGGGAATTACCTGGATCCTTTCCGTCGCACTTTCGAAGTTAACCGTGCTGAGTCTTTATTTGTCACTTTTCGCAATCAAACGTGTGACGCGGTACATTTGCTACGCCACGGGAGCTATTATCATTCTCAACTGTCTCGGAGGAATTTCCGCTTGCTTTGGTGTATGTGTCCCATTGAAGGCGCTCTGGGACACTGGTGTTGCAGGTCACTGCTTCAACTTAAACATGTTGCTTCGATGGATCCGCCTCCCACATATACTGTCGGACGTCATCATGCTGATCCTTCCCATTTCACATATTATCAAGCTCCAAACCACTCGTCGGATCAAGTTTGGGCTTCTGATTAGCTTCCTATTTGGTAGTGTGTGAGTTCGTCCCTTCACAAAACATACCATTCATCCAAACAATGTACTGACACCTGGTGTGTAGTGGATTTATCTTCGGGTTGATATGCTGGGTACAATACTTCGCTACTGATGCGATAGCCGATAAGACATGGTCAGCAGTTAACATCTTCATTTGGAGTATCCTGGAGGCTGGCATGTATCTCATTGCTGCCTGTCTACTGGCATATCACCCCATAGTCAGCCTGATTTGGAAACAAGTAAGGAAGCACTTTACGGGCATGTCCAGAACCAAATCCGAGCCAGGCAGCACTAGAGACTACGAGATGGGATTAGGTAGCCATGATCAGATTCCTGATGGTCGGGCCTTCGTGCCCTTGAGTGATAAAGAGGAGTATATAGGTTTGGTGACAGTGGCCAAAGTAAAGCAAGGTCAGCGTGGGGAGACTGTACGGAGCATGAATTAACATTGGTATGAGAAATTACCAGTTAGGTATCTTCCGCCGCCAGGGTTCCTCCCCACTGTCCCTGCTTTCGAGATTTCTGGAATGATCATATCAATGTTGAGCTGGCGCCGAGTCCAATTTCTGGTCCTAGTGGACATAGCTGAGTTGTTGGTCGACTTTGATATGGTTAATCTCCTCATCGAGTATATCTTCAAGGTTGGATATAGAAGGTCAGCAGTGAGAACTTTTCTTGTGAGAACCAAGGAAAATTGATCGAAATTTACTTCGACTACCATAACTCGTTTTTATTTGGAAAAGGAGTTAGAAGTAGTTTGTACATACATTGCCTATCGTTTATGTATATTTTCGGGTGCAAATGTGACATGCTCTACGATGAATCAATCATCTAAAAGTGAATGTTTCTCCCTACTTAGCCAGTTTCCGTAAGTTTGAACGGTACCTTCAATGTCTATTAGAGATAAACCAACAAAAATCAAAGTCGTAGAATACCAATTGCATGTACTATTTGTAGATGGGTAAGGTGGCAGTGAGGGTTTAACCCGACAACATGCTGATGCTTAACCTGCGCTACACCTCACTGGGCCTAGAGCTGTCTATCAATCGGCTCGGGGCGGATTCGGGTTGAACTGAACACTCGAAGGTTGGCGATGTGGAGATACCTCGTGTTTGTTATGTTATTGTAACATAATTGTAGGATTTTCCAGGTGCCTCGTAAAATGTGAGTCACGGCCAGTATTACACACACATGACTTCCTCTGAATCATGACAGTTGAACGTCAGGATTACTGCTGGACATGATGGCATCGGTCCTGCCTCGGGTCTCATTATCTTTCACCTGCTAGTTCGTACGGAGAACCTGTGATCCAAATTCTTTCTTCATAACGTCCAGCACCTAGCTTGTTCGATTGAGGATAATACCGGAGAGGATATAGTTAGAGGTTACGCGAATAGCTGTTGTTGGTATATTCGATAGCCCACGGTTCGATGCCTCAGTGATGGCAGCCTGGAGCCATACTTGCTTGTGGTAAGGTACTGCTCCTGTTCTATTTGTTGTAACTGCAGCACCACTTATAGACTATGAACAAAAGGTCTCCCGGTAACAAATCCTGGTTGTATTGAGCGAGATATATGCCTTTGTAGGATCCGTTGACGGTTGTCATTATTGGGAAATTGTCCAAAGAGGGCTGAGTGGCCTGGACATCCCCCAAGGGAGCAAAAGCTAATAAAGAGTATACAAGATAGGAGATTTTCATATTCGCTTCAGTAAGCGTCGGAATGCCTTCTGCCCCGCTTTCCTCTCAAAATCAAGAAACAGAAATTGTAGAGTTACAAAGGACTTTGCGGACTAGGAAGCGTTAGATCACGACAGTCAAGGAAAGCCGCCACATTCCGGTTGTTTCTAAGGTTCTGACTTCATCCAACGATCGGGGCATTTCATGAAAGCCTGGAAATATGTTCCTATTTTTTGCTCAGGTCCACAATGTAGATAGATCTGGCCGACATACCCCAAGTACCCCATAAATGGGGTTGATGCGGAGTGTGGGGAAAGCCCTAAACTCCGTGACCTTTGCAGTGAGTTCAAGCGAATGCAGTAAATGCTCCAGAGTATATCAGGAATATACCGGCTGTAAACTGAAGGTTGCAGTCGTCGCGTATGCAGATCGCAATATACGCCCCACACACTATATCTCGGTGGCTTTTACCTTGATAGTTGTAGTCTACTATTCACCTCTTCGCGCAATGTTGGGCTCGCGGATGAGGATGGTGTGGCACAGATCAAAACCATCTTCCCGGGCCACTACCCAGGGCGCACGAACCACATCCACATCATCGCGCACACAGATGTCACCGTGCTCAAGAACGGGACCATCACGGGCGGTTCGATCGCCCACACAAGCCAGTTCTTCTTCGACCAGGACCTCATCGACAAGACTCGCAGACTTACCCCTACACCCAGAACCCGTACCAGGTCACCGGCAATAAACTTGATGATACCTTCCACCAGGAAACGGCGTATTCGGCCTCGGGCCCGGTCTTTCACTATGAGTATCTCGGCGATAGCATCGAAGATGGGTTGTTCATGTGGGTGCGGATCGGGGTGAATGCGTCGGCGAACTGGGATGACGGAGTCGGGGAGCACAGCTTTACCTATGGTGCGAATGGCGGAAAGTACTCGTGCGGCACGGGGAGGATTGGGGCGAACTATACGACTGCGGACGAGGACTGCACGGGGAGCACGAATGTGGGTGACCTGCCTGGGGAGAATGGGCCCGGCCCGGCGGTTTACTCTGCGCCGCCGCCCAGTGCTTGGTATAATGAGACGGATGAGGCGGAGCGGTCGGCGGCGAAGAGTTGGTTGGCGGTTGCCAATGGGTTGGCAGCTGCTACGGAGACTCCCACTCCTTGATCTGGCTTTTCCTGGGAGATACTTGTTCATGTATTGTGATTGAAAGTTCGGAACTGTTTGTAGGGTTGTATGGTGGGGATACTGGATAGTATGAAACAGCTAGTTAGAAAATGATAACGAATTGCATGGCTCAGTTTCGGTCATGATGTCCCAAAATACATACTAGCCTGTCCATCTGAGTCGGCAGTCCTGCATTTGAGACACGGGTCCGGAATAGGGCTTCTCGAGAGGCACTTGCTCATTACTGAGGCCAGTAAACTGTCTGCCCATTATTCGCTCTTGACTCATGATTGACTTGCTTGTACCCTACCCCTTGTCTTTAGCATCCACTGCGTCCGATATAGTACACCAGTAATCTCTCGCCCTATTCCAAGTCTACATATCCTTTTACCAGTACAGTAGTTACAGCCACTTCACCCTTCAATAGCTCCAATGCAGGAAAAGAATCAGCCCACTTAAATACAATATCCATCCCCCAGCCTCAATCAGTCCAACACAGTAACATTCTTCCCCGGCTGCGTGCAGTTCATCAAGATATTAATCGGGGGAAACGTCCCCCCAGCACTGAAAGCCAAGCTACTGTAGTTATACGTCGCGCTCAACATCATAATCTGGCCGACAGTGGTACCAAACTCCTCAGCTAAATCCTTATACACGCCCCAGGTAAAGCTATATGGCTTAATCACACACGTAGTATCCTCACAAAGCGGTACCTTGATAAACTGTCCAACAGGCAACTTGTCCGTCGCCGTCGTCCCCTCCCCCGTATCGCCCATTAGCGCGTCGACGGTAATATTGAGTCGCTGCGCGATTTTCTCATACGTATCCCCGTTGACAGTGTAGTACAGGCGCGGCCCGCCGACGATGCAGGTGTTGGTCGCGTTGCTGGATAGCAGGCAGGAGGTATTGTCGGGGTCGCATACTTCGGCGGGAATAATAAAGATCTCGCCGACGTGGGGGGGGATAGTGACGTCTGCCATAAGGTTTTGGCGGCCGATGTCGCAGACGCCGCGCTTTGTGATGCGCGCGACGTCGAAGACGGTTGTGTTAGCTTCGGTGATGGGGTAGTAGTAGGTGGTTGTATTGAGCGTGCTGGGGTCGCAGGTGGCAGTGGCTGGGGTGATGAGAGCCAGGGAGGCAGCCAGGGTTGCGAGGGTAAAGGTGGACTTCATAGTGACGATTGAGAAAGAACAATTGGAGGATTGCATGAGATGAGTTAGAATAGGATAGGATAGGATAGCATACTGCATGTGTAGTTTATAAACGCTGAGGGAGGCCTACCTTGATAGTATCATCAGCAGGGGTGTCGGGGTTATTCCAGTGCGTACGTACACATAGGAGATCTCCTACGCAACGATACGCAGGAGTGCATAAGCCATCATGAATAAACCATAGTGGACTATCAGAGAATGGCAATGCAGTGATTACGAAGCCTGAATATTAGAGGGAAGATGAAATGATCGGCGCCCTGTCGATCCCTCCACAACAACCGGAATTAGTGCGCCTGAGATCTCGCAAACTCCCCCCGTTTTGGGAAGGGCCACTGCTGATCTTTCTTTGCAATATAAGGTCGTGGAACTGAGTGCTCGAATTACCAATCCCCGGCCGCGCATTCAAGCAATTCCGTCAGGACGAATGTTTCGTTTAGCATGACGCGTTTGTGGAGAATCCGTGCCACTGTATGCCGTATATTGTGCAAATATTTATGTCCGAAGATCCCTGCGACAATATGTATATCAGGTCTTCGTGCAGCCAGGATCCCTGTCAGTATAGAGCCAGTTCAATACCGCCTGTAGCTATGCTCTCTTTCCTTGCTTCGCCCCTGCTGGTACTGGCCATCGGACCCTCTGTTGCATATGCAGCATGCCCCTACGCGCAGCAGATGGGTCTCGACCTCAATGCTCGCGATATTCCACATCCACATCCACCTTCTCTGGCGGCTCACCAGAGTCACCGCAGAGGTCTAGGCAAGGATGGTGTGATGCTCATGAACCGAATCGCGCCCGGCACATCCAAACTCTACATCTCGGATATCGATGGGAGCAATGAACGGCCGCTCCTGTCAGATCCCGTTTTCGAATACCACGCCAGCTTCTCGACAGACGGGCAGTGGGTCCTCTTCACCAGTGAACGCAATGGTGACGGAAACTCCGACATATGGCGTGTGCGCACCAACGGGTCAGACCTGCAACCGCTTGTAACAACACCGGCGGTCGAAGACTCTGTCGTGCTCTCACCGAATGGCAGGCACGCTGCATATGTCTCGACCGAAGGGATGATCGCCAACATTTGGGTCCTCGACCTGGTCACTGGCATTCGCTGGAATCTAACAGATACGCCTGCTATCGCTGCCACCACCAACAAAACTGTACCTCATGGCTACTTCAAGCCGGCATGGTCTCCAGACGGTCAGTGGATTGCCTTTTCTTCCGACCGCAATACGAAATGGGCTGGCCACGGCTGGGAGACGTTCATGGGCCTCAGCTGCTGGGAGCACACCCAGGAACTCTCGATATTCGCCATTCGACCAGATGGAACCGGCTTCCGCAAGGTCATTGGCAAAGATGGCTACGCCCTCGGCTCCCCCAGCTGGTCTGCAGACGGCAAGCGCATTGTCTACTACGAGATGACGCGTGAAACAACTTGGGACGCACACAGCTCGTTCGACGTCAACTCAGCGAACTCTTCCATTGTCTCCGTCGACTTCGCAACTGGCACCGACCGCGTTGTCGAGGTCAACACCTCCGGCGTCAAGATTTTCCCTCAGTACCTAGGTAACACCAGCTCAATCGGCTACCTCCTCAAAGGCACCACGAAAGAAGGCATCTACAGCGGTACCACCTATTACAACACCACTGCTCGCTCCCCTGCCTGGTCCCCAGACGGCAAACGCGTCGTCTACGAAAAGGTCTCCTGGGATATCCGCCCCCAGAACAAACTCCTCTATAGCTGGGATGCCAACTGGACCTACCGCTTCACCGACGTCTTCCCAACCGTCAACACCGCAGGCCGACTAGCCATCACCCAAAAACAGCTCGGCGACTCCGCCGTCATCTCCCTCAACGCCACGGGCACAGACAACGAAACCGTCTTCGACCCCGTAGCAAGTGGAATCCTCTCCCTCTCCTCCGTCGAACAGGGCACCTCCGGTGCCTTCCAGTCCTCCTGGTCCTCCGACGGAAACTGGCTCACCTACGGTGTCGGCTACTGGTTCGCCGGGCGCGCGTCCAACGGCGGGTGGATCGTGCGTTCCAAGGCCGATGGCAGCGAAGCGATGAACCTCACGACCAGCGCGATCCCACTCTCAGCAGGCGGCAACAATACCCTGAACACAGGGTTCCCCAGCTTCTCGCCCGACGGGACGAAGATCGTTTTCCGCGTTTGGGGCGCCGATGCAGAAGACGGCGATACATCGCAGCTAGGTCTCCGCATCATACACCTCGACCAAGTAACCGCCAACGGCACGTACCCCATTACCGTGTTGACAAATTGGTGGGACACGCTCCCGTCCTTCTCACCAGATGGGACAAAGATCGTGTTTACGCGACGCGTCAGTGGAAGCAACTATGAGGTCTGCACGATTGCGCCGGACGGCTCGGACCTGCAGGTGTTGACGAGTAGTGGAGCGAATGATGCGCATGCGGTGTGGTCGCATGATGGCAGGATCATGTACTCGACGGGCGAGTATGGGTTTCAGTCGGAGTGTGCGCTGTACGATAATACATTCCAGCCGTATGGGCAGATCAACATTATGGATGCAGATGGGGGGAATAAGCGGGCGTTGACAAATTCTTTGTGGGAGGATTCGATGCCGGCTTATGTTCCGGGGGAGTTTCTTTAATTCCTACTTCCTTGGCTGAGTAGCTAGCTAATATACAGTCTGTCTGACTCAGGTAGTTTTAGAAGTTCATTCATATTGACACGTTTCCACCTAGGACAAGCAAGCCATCCATCCAGTACAATCATTCTCTAGCCCTATCTTTGTGTTTCTTTGCAACGAATCCCTTTCACATCACGTCCGAAACCACGCGATAATGTGGTACAATCTGTTTGACAACAATAGGCCGTCATTTTGGAGTGAGAAGTGGCCCAAGGCGGTGCTGCTGGGCCTCAGCCAAAATAGTACCTAGCCGACCACTACAGTGAGCGGAAGGAGTTGGAAAAGAGGGAGGGCCTCAAAACAGGAAGGGTTAGCAACGACGAGCTACGGCAACTTTTCACGTCTTATGACGTGGTTATCAGCTGCAGTCGATGAGCTTTAAGGCTTTGACTTCATTCCGCCAAGCAAGATCCAAAACGTAACAGAATGTCCAGTTTGGTCCGTCTGGCGGAATGTCCAAATACTTATCCACTAGATTGATATTCCTCGGAAAATATTAAATTATCAGCATATTGATGTAGGGGCATTCCTATGAGGTCGTCAATTCAACGCGATTAGGAAATCACTGGGAAGGATGCTTCATACCACTGTAAGTCCATATGAAACGGAGGGGCTAGGCCCTGCTCATATCTATAGAATGTCCGATAATTAAGTTTCTGGAGCCTCCTGCATATGTCGGTGAGCCAATCTAATGTCAAATATCTTCTAGCTGCTACCTGAAGGAAGTTACGACAGAGCTTCGGCCGAGCCCGATCTGCTAACATAAGGAATGCGTTATCAGATCAAGTTATCAGGAGAGGCGCAGTCAGAATCTCGAGCGTTAGTCTAAGAGGGTCGGTTTAGTTTGGGCTAGATCGACCCTTTAGACCCACCTTGCATGCAGGCCTGAAGACATATGCCTTGGAATTTTTGCTCAGGGCTCCAGCTTTGCGCCAGTTTCACGGCAGAGACTGTGTGAACTCATTATAGAATTTCTTTTTTCTTGTTACTGAAGACAGGATACATCTCACAAAGGCTTATTTTCACTGGCGACGTCCTCTGCAACTCAAGTCGGGGCTGAAGAATGTCAAGAAAGGTTGCAGATATCCCGCCTAACGAAGGATCCACTAGTTTGGGCTTTCCCATAGTTTAGCCTTAAGCCAAGCCCTCCTAGTGATCGACAAATATAGTGGCTACCCGTTGCCTAAGTCTCGGCATCGTGTCGGTTTCCATAATGGGCAAGAAAGTTACAACGCCAGAGCATATCTCGCAATATTGCTCGGTTCCTAATATCTCCGACTTGGCATCTACATAGCATGCCACACCAGCGTTCTAGAATAGTCTGTAGAGGCACATATCATACCGTCAGCCACAATAATCAATACCTTATAAGAGCGACGGCAGGCCCAGTCAACGTTGTCTCCTCTACCAGGAAGACCAGAAGGCCTATTCATTTGAACTACTTTGATTTACTTTATTATTTATAATGCGTCCCTTGAGTCTTGTCCTCTTTTCACTTGCGGCATCTGCTGCACCCATCGATGGCACCACCCCGGAATTCACCTGCAACGGCGATGTCTGCTATCTTCCTCCACCCAAGCCCGTTGAGCCCACATACTTCCTAGAGAATGGAGAGCAGGTCCCGGACATCTCTTATTTCCCTCCACCGCCTCGTCCCACCCCAACCAATAATGAAGAAGCGAAGGCGCCCACCGACCTGGGCGGTAGCGGTGGTTCTGGAAGTTCTGTAGGCTCTATCGCCGGCGGTGTTATCGGAGCTGGCACCGCTATCGGTGGTATTCTAGGCGCTGCTGGTAGTGCCGGTAGTGCTGCTGGTGGGGCCCTTGGTGGTATTGGTGCCTCAGGGGCCGCGGGGGCTGTAGGGGGTGCAGGAAGTCCTGAAGCAGCAGGAAATGGAGGAAGCGCTGGGAGTACTGCGTCGACAGGCGCCACTGGTGCTACTGGTGCAGATGGAGTCAGCTATGGAACCTTCGAGGGCGATGTCAGCGAGCTTCCTCCACCGAAGAAGCCCGTCGAAACCTGGTTTGATGAGAACTTACAGGAAATTCCAGGCCCCAATGGTGATGAGAGAACGTTCGAGCTGAACGTCCACGGAGAGGGTGAAGGCGCATTGAACGATGGTGGCAATCCTGGAAGAGGAGGAGGACGACCTGGACCGTCCAGAGCTGGGCCTTCCCAATCCCGTGGTATCAACTTGAATGAGTTTCGGGAAAGTGATAAATCCATTGCACGGCATTATCTGCAGTCCGAGAACTCACGTGAGCAATACAACCCTACCTTTTTCTCATGGGGATATTCTATTAACATGCTTTTTAGCTCATGTCAAGCCATTTGACGGTGGTAGAACCGTCGACGAAAAGCAGCTATTTGCTAGCGTGAGGGAAAGGTATACCAACCTCAAGGAGGTCAAGGCGACCAGTGATAAGGAGGGCAACTTTGCGGCCAGAGATAGAGGTCGTTATCGCTATATGTGAGTCCTACATGCACATCAATCAAGTTGTTATGGGAACTAAGTATATGACAGTGCTGGAACCAAAGATGGCAAGGAAGTGCTGGTTGGAATTGCAGAGCACGGCACCAACAGCAACAATTTTGTGAACTTCACACCCTTCCCTAAGCCACAGTAGAGTGTACAACGGTGCAATGCGCCTGGTTGCAGATCGCTAGGCACCAGGTGTAGAAAGAGAATGGCAGACTAGCTTATCAGTGATTGTGTGAGTCAGGATTGTTTGTTCGTATTCCGATATTAATATTTAGTAAATCCTATGTCCTATCTTCCTATAGGTCCGACTACCTTTAGCCTTTCGTTCGTCCATAATCATTGGGCCTATAGGGCTTTAAATGGCGGGAACTTCCTTGCGGTACAAACTCCATTGTTATCAAAGCTAAAATTCTGAAACTAAAATACTGGAAAGTTCAAGGCTAAAATGTCTGTAAATATTTTGCATGCAGGAGAGGGATATAGGTTATGAGGTGGTAAGCACTGCAGCTGAATCTCATCTGGACCGGGACGCATCCGAAGTATCCTCGATATCCATCTCGGAGCGATCCCGGGACGAACATAGCTCCAGTGTAAAACCACGCGTCCGTATTGTGAAGTCAATGCCTATCTCAAGCACGCGACACCGACGGGATACCGGTTGGTATCGGGATTCTAATAAGCCACATAGTGATCTCCATGATTTTGTGGCTGAACTGTAGGGGTAAGCCCGTAACCCTTATAAGTAAATGCGGTCCTGAGCAAAGTTAGGCCTACTAGGTATACGTATATGGTTGCCACATAGGAAAAGTTCTTTTCAAGCGACTAATGCAAGGGCGGTAACTGTTCGCTCTGTGTTTCGCTTGTTGGGAAATCAGATTCAACAAAACCCTTCACTGCTTGATTTCCCGCGCGCCGAATTCTGCAGTAGACTTTCTTAGACCCTTTTGAGCGTGGTATCTAGAATCCTGCTGCCTATCAGTATCAAATTTGCCTGAGCTGAGCCCAATTAAGTCGAAAAGATAGGCTCTCCCTGCATGGTCTGCTTGAAGCCTTGCAACATGACCTCGGGCTTTGACAAAATGTTAGCTCGTCACCACCCGGCGTACCTGGTAGGGCTAAGGAGGACGTTTGGTCCCGGGACGTTTCCGTGAAGCTTCTCTGAAGAATCTGGGTATTATATAAATTATATAATAATAAATAGCCCGATATTTACACTATTTAAAACTTAATTGGGGGCCTACGGGCCTATTATAGGCTCCTATACTAAACCTAAGACCCATCATAGGCCCTAGACTCGGGCCCAAAGCCCAACCCACCGTGGGCTTAGGCTAGGGTTGGGCCTGGGCCGGGATGGGCCGTGAAGAAGCCTAATTAATATCTAAACTTTTAATAGATAGATTTCCAGCGCATTATAATAGATTATCCTTTGTAGAAAAGAGATCTATGGAATGGAGGGTTTATTAAATAAAGAATAGTTTACGAAATAGACTAGGTGTAAGTGATAGTCTAAACAGCGATAGGTATTATGGAAAAAAAGATTTAAATAGGCCAACACAGTTACTGCTCTAGACCAAAAGACACGATGACTTGCCCGGGAGATGGCAGATGAAATGAGACGAATTGAGGGGGGAGACACTCAGGAATAGCAGGAGGATAATCTGTTTCATAGTTATGGTTGAGAATTGCTTTTTGTTAAGGTCATCTATCTCAATATGGAGATGTAATCGAATTCCTTGGTCTTTCCCCGTAAAGAAGATTAACCACACATTGCCATATCCTAGTCGGTCTAAATGTACTCGCATCTAACATTCTGCATCGGCTGTTCTCACCCAAAGTCTTCTTCTCACACCAGAAATGGGCAGAGCTCCCTCGCATGGAGATCCGTATGGCTTAAATCTTACGGTTATCCCTCGATCATTGTGGGCAGGTAAAGCTTGACGTGGCGTGGTATTAGACATATGTACCTGTCGCAGCAGCGGTCTGCATAGATCCACTTCATTCAAGGTCAGAGTCCAAATTTTGGAAACGAGACTCCTTGAGGAACGTGGTCTGTTCTACCCAGTCATTAACCAATTCCACCACCACCGAATGGCCACATCTTTCGATTCTTCGCTTGACTTTCTGTGAAACAAATCAATCAGCCTACACTAACTTGTACTTGCAAGGTCGTTTGGAATGCCTAAACGGGACAGGTTGAGGGTAAAGCACTTTGCAACACGCCAAGGCAAACCTTATCTATTCTAGAACTGAGGAATGTAGGAATGCAAACTTCCAGGACTACCAAGGTCTCCCTACAAGGAAAAGAGCATCATGTTAGTCTACTCGAACAGACAATTATATGTAAAATGTTACATTTGTTGATATGGATACAAACTTCTAGAACTTACTATTTGATGACGCCCGCTAGTGTGATGAGATCGTAAAGCCTCCCTGACGTTCCAGGGTGAGGTATGGTTCGGAACTATGACCAGAAAAGAGGCTCAAGTCAGCCCATGGATGGCTTCTATCCGCACGTTACAAACTCGTGGATTGTACAAAGACGGTTCTAGAATTTGATTCCCAACGTTGTCCATGACTCACGATGACAGTGCTCACACTGTGTTCAATGAGGCCACATCCGCGTTATCGAGATGCATGCAATCAAGCCCTAGCAGAAGGCTAGAAATAGAATGCAATAAAGAATTAAAAAATAAGGCTGTCAATGCCCTTCCTGCAAATTGGTGGCTAGTCCGGACCATTACTCGTGGTTGATACTTTGCTACCAAAACATTTCGATCTGGACTAGTACGCAGGCAATCATGTTAACGGGCATAGTGTGCTCATCTGCCCCATGACAAACATTTGGATCTGTCTCGCTGTAGTGTTTCACTATGGCTAATAAATCCAAAAACCTGAAACGTATGCGAGCGGAATTATATTCCGCACATTTGTAACCAAGCCTCTTTGAAGAAGAGCTTGGCAAAGCGGGATCTGTACCCAACATTCATATTCCGCTTGTTGGTAAATAGTCTAGGTTGCATTCTCCCTGCTGCTCACCGTTGGGGAAGGAAGGTCGCTCTCTGTAGTGAAAATAATTTTATACATGTATCGTGTGTAAACGCATTGCATACAGTTAACATTATCTTGTCGAGGCCTACAGAGCGTTGATCGAGGTTTCTGGGACCCAGCTTGCATGAGGTCTATCGGCTGAACCTAGGGTTAGTAGAAGTTGGTGGGAACAGAGCATAGCCCCATTGCCCTTTGTAATATTTTTGATGCTAGCACAGGTACTGTAATATGTTGGGCGGAATTCGGATGCCTGGATTTAGTCCCTTCTTCGTTCTAGAACACTGCAGGAAGAATGCTTATTCTCCACTCATCCACATGAAGAGGCCTTGGTTTGACTTGGCTCGACGATTTATGACACTAACGGAGGTTATTATCACACGACCCTAAGACATTTTACCTAATCTCGAAGGTCTAATCGGTATAGCATCAGAGAGTCTAAAGCCTATTCATGTGTGGCTCTATTCTGTACGTAAATGTGTGGCTTAGCCGATGGCGCATTGCCAAGTCGATAATGTCAACTGCACGACAACTTACCGGATCTGTTATGTTCAACGAAAGGCTAAGGTGTACCTTGGTGATACTTTGTATCATCGCATATTGTAGATCTTGCTGATTGATACACCTCAAACAGGTTTAGGTCTATCGCGAGAAAAAATATATAATGGCATGGAAATCGCCCTAAAGTATCTGAATTCCAACACAGACACATAAACCAGAAATATTTAATCTAATCTACAATACTTCAACCCTTTCCTTGACTGAACAACATGAAGACTGCTATCTTCTCGACTCTGTTACCCCTTGTCCTGGCTCTCCCAGCCCCCCAGGTTCGTTTTTCTTGTTATTGAGGCTCATGCTCTGTACAATCTGTTAATAGGGGATTAAACAGACACAGTCAACCGAGGGAAAGTTGCCTTGGAAGAAAGGCAGCGTATGCCTGGCACTCACGGAAGACTGTATGGGAACGATTGGATGGTGTAACGCCGAGGCGCAACGCCTGAAGGAGTTCGGCGCTCGTGAGAAGTGCCTCGCCCAAAGAGAGCGCCGTCCTGCCGACGCACCTAAACTTCCCTGGATGAAAGGTACCGGTTATGACTGTGCCTATGCTCTCACTCCCGAGGAGAGATGTTATGGCACTGCACTTTTCTGCCGTGAGGGACTTTACCCCCAGGGTCAATATAGGGACGAGCAGGAATGCTTGTCTGACAGAGAGGATGCTCCGAAAGATGCCAAGGTAACGCCTTGCCACTTATATCTATATAGGCATTACTGATGAATACCACCAGAAGCAGCAGAGCCTCCCAGAGGCAGAACTGAAGGCGAAGAAGCCATTCCTTCAGCCCGCGCCCGACAGCGACACTTCGTGCATGACCTTCGACCGCGGCAGTGAGCGCTGTGTTGGAACCAAGTACTACTGTACCAATGACATCATGAAGTTCCCCTACACCGACGAGGATGGCAGTGTCTACAATAATGCCGCTGAGTGTCTGGATGCCCGGGAATCTGAGCCTCAATCTGCCGATCCCGATCGCATTGTGTTCCCTGATAACTAGGGTCGGATATTAAGTAGTCCCCAACTGGGTGCGGTCCATGGCTTGACCACCCACGTTACCATTCAAGGGATGCGGACTAAAGAGGGAGCCATGAGAGTGTTGTGAACGTTCCCATTTGCCTGTACTTATGTGTATTAACCTCCTGGCATTAGATTCAACATCTAGGCCAGTCTTAGAGCATTAGTTTTAGTTATTTCCTCCATTTGAAATCACGTTGAGAAAAGGAAGCCCTCACAGGTCGTGTCGTATATCATCTCCACGTATCGTAACCACACTTGTAACATATAAAAGAGAAAAAGAGATAAGC